ATGTGATTTTAAGTTTCATGACAAAAACAGTTTATTAAATACAATATTAAACCTTATTTGAGTTTCTGAGTCATCATATAAATTTCACTATTGGTTACTTATTTATTATTCACTAAAGTCACTACTATTATATCGCACCAGCACTACCAGCCCTGCAATCGGCATAATCGTATTTAGTTTCAAGCTTAATTTAAATGTATGTCACATTAGCGGGAAAATTTTAAACATTTCCGGGAAAAAAACGGGAAAAACTAATTGGGATTTGTTGGTTACCATGAGTCATCCACATTGCAAACTGCTCTTTTGTAATGATTTGCCAAAATAATTTCAATATTTAATTCTCAGAAGTGTCCGATCCGGTCTTGTAAGTGGTCTCCGTAGTCGACATATTTTCTGTGATAGTCTACTGCCTTTCCAACCGACACTTGCGAAACAAGCTATCAAATTACTGTACCAAACTAAAATGTCATATGACAGGCTCTATCATACGACACTGTTGCCGAAGACCGTCACGAATGTATGTATTTTAGTTTTTCTCATAATAAGAGTTGCTGATGTTGTGCTTCTGTGAATACTGAAAATAGCAAGCAACGATGTCCTAGTAATAACATTTCGTATCAGAAATGGTTTAATTTACACCAAATTGAGGAATTAGAACGAAATCACACATGTCATATGATCAGAGTTGAGTTTCTCTACTGTATTATAGAACATAATAGAGATTTTCATGCAAACTTCTCTTAAATATTACTCCATTATTACTCCATTTCAGGGGTCTCAGATAGGCTTCTTCTTCTTATTCGCATTTCAAGCTTATTGCACATTAGCTTAGTGCGTTTTCAACTTAGTGTTCTAAATGCACTTCCACAGTTATTAATTGAGAGCTTTAGATGCCAATAACAATGCATGAATTTGTATATTGTGTGGCAAGCACAATGATATTCTATGCCCAGGGAAGTTGAGAAAATTTCCAAAGATTCCCTCGACCGGACCGGGAATCAAACCCGCCGCCTCCGGCTTGGTAATACCGTGCCTTTACTGACTAGGCTATGAAGCATGGTGTAAGAGCGTCAAAGCCACGATAAGGAGGAAGAAGTCATATTCGACCTCTTCTCATAAGTAAGGTCAGAAGACTTTTAGGCTATATTTAGTGGTCTTCAGGAGCAATTCAATCTAGTAGATATTGATAATCAATTTAAAAGACTTGTAGGCAAGCCTGGACGTCACTGAGTGTAAGTCCAAAGAACACTAAAAACACAGAACCTACTTGACAGGCTTAGTGAATCTTGAGGTTACATTTAGAAGGGCTCATGGGCTTGATATAGATTACCCCAATTGTAAGTTCAGCGAAAAAAAAACAAATCAGAGGCGTCGCGTGCCTCGTTTGTTTACCTGTGCACCAAACTTTGTTCGTTATAGCTTACCACCACATATTAGTTTTTGTATATTTTTCAATGCTCCATGAATTCGAGGGACATATTCTCAATTACTATATTAATCACTACCTAACGTAACATTTGAACGGCCTATAATCTTTCGACTGAAGTGTAATGAAGAATATCCATCAAACACTTCCGAAAACATTTTTTGATACAAAACAGTGTCAAAATCTAGAGAAAATTCATGTCGTCCTTTGGGTAGCAAACTTGAATTAATCAACTCTTTATTCATCAGAACAACACTATCAGAATGAACCAGGAGCTCATAAGTTTTCATAGGCGCACCGGTGCAACCATCGGGAATTGAGAGATTTACAACTGACAAGAGAGTAAGAGCAAGCTTTTGCGCTCTCTTTCTCCATTACTCTCTTTGCCTGCAATCAGATATCCAAGTGCACAACGAGAAATGCACACTTTGGGCACCCATACATCGCAAATGTTCTTCTAATTTAAACTCACACATTCAAACTGGTCTGCATGTATGATAATGTCCAAAGCGTACCAGACTGCTGTCTCCGTGTTGCTCCCCTTTGACGCGTGACTGCTGAAAGTTTCAATTACAACTAGTGGTGCAAACCGCCATGTATTGTGGAAAATGTGGGGTATGTTTCAAGAGATGATAGAAGGTCTGCTTGGCTTACATCAGGCATTGACCATTCACAAACTTGTCACCCGCCACCCGACCCCCAAAAAAACTCGCTTTTAGGTGCACTATTTAACGAGTTTTGTCATGGTAGTGTTATCGATATGCTTAGAAATCAATGCATTAGGGATTAGGCAGACCATCCGAACCTTTTTGAAGCAAACCAAGGTCGAAGATTTAATTGAGCCACACTATAAAATAGTGTATTCATATGGTCACTTGTAATCTGGAGTAAAGTAGTACAGCTTTAATGTGACCATAAAATCTATAAAAAATCCAAACGCATTTTTTAAATTATTCACACCTGTGTCGTGCATATCACTGGACAAAACAGAAAGCTAAAAGAGGCCATTTCGGAGCTGTTTTCGTGGCTTCTCGAAAAAATTCAGGTCGGTTTGACAACAAGCGGAATGAAGTCCTGAAATGATGGCAAACTCAATAATTTTTAGACAAACTTGGAAAACTGATAAAACTGGTATATACAGGGAGAGATAAGCTTGAAAATAAGATCGAAAATCAACAGGACGATTCAAAGAAACACCAAGGTTAACGTCAGACGATTTTTAGGGTAATTTGCAGAGATCCTCGCCTTTTGAGAGCAAGTCGAAAATAATCCTGAGCAACTAAACTCATTCTCAAAGATCTTGTTAAATACTTTCGAAGTTCACTAAGCATGCCGCAAAGATCCCCAAGTTTACAACTAAAAGAAGAATTTCACAAACCATGCTAATCATTTTTCAGACCTACATTTGAAGTCTTATGAATGTTCAAAAGCCCTAAAAACCTTCGGATCTCCTCTCAATATTTTTATCCAATTGAGCACACTTTACGGTAGGGACATTCACATGGAAATTCAAGGTTCTACGCTGCGATTACCAGGCCTATACAATTCAACAGGCCTGTTCGAAAGAATTATTGTGCAAATTCGGAAAATTCAGTTGCAAATCAAAAGAACTTGGTGCAAGGGAGGTTTAGTGCACAAATCTATTAGATCACAGGACTTCAAAAGCGAGTGTATTGTCTTACCAGGGGACCCTGAGACCAAATTCAGATAGTAACTCCAAGGACAATTACTTTTAATAAGGCCTACGGACGTCAATAGACATCAACACATTACTATAGGTTCCCTAAAGCATGTCCGCAAAACCTAGATGTCATGTTATGCGTTTATCTATACTTAGAAGATTATGGGATTGAAAAAGAGCAAGGCATCAATGGTAAGCCCTGACGACAAAAGGGGCAAGTTTAGAAGAATTTCAGAACGGGCAGTTTGGAAGATTGAAATGGTCAATTCAAACAATTCAATCGCACTTGTGACACGGTCTTCTAGATGAACTTCAGAGAACTTCTGTGGGATTGAAGGAGGTCTGTCTTCAAATGATTTTAAGGGACTGTTTGAAAACATCCAGGAAAGAATGCTGGTATTTCTTTTTGAATTGTGGTCTAAACAAATTTCAGTCTAAACTCTGGACTCTGGTAGTGAGTTCCAGAATAGTTCGATAACAACTTTGCCTAAGACGTCAACCTTCTAAACAGTTGGGATTTCGATATCTAGTACCTGCATAAAATCACCAGAGCTGCGGAAATTCTAAACTGAATTGATTTCTATCTAATAAAGCTTCTTCCTGAGCCTATATCCGGATAACCTCAGGTTCTAATATGTCTCTTTGTTCTTCAATTTTGTAAAGGAAGCGATTGATCAGTAGCCCATCGTAGTATAGTGAACAGTGAGGCAGTTTCGCTATATGGACAATATAGCCTAAAAATTCACTTTTCTATAAAGGCCCACCCACATTAGATCCGATTGCGTTCCGTTGACGTAAATTAGACAGTTAGACAATAGATTTAGCTGTCACTTTGCCGCAACGCATCTGATCCCGATCTATCCAAGTAACCACCAAGCCCGCTAATAGCCCGATAATCGCTCTTTTTGCAATATAAGGTTAATATAGGGCTTCCACACTTTATATCACCTATATATCAGCTTTATATTGCAAAAAAGGCGATTAGCGGGCTTGTTGGTTACTTGGGTAATGTGCGTGGACTTTAACGCATATATTTAAAATGTGTTAGACAAGCTGAAAATGTCATAAACTAAGATTTCTGCATATGAAAATAAGGTTTACCAATACTTCAAACGACTTTTCAGAAATATTCCTTCAACTGCTAAACTGCCGCTATTCGCATAACAGTCCCATGATCTGTGAATTTCATATCTACATGGGACTGTTATGCGAATAGCCGCAGTACAGAACTGGGCATTGGCAAGTTAGATACCAAGATAATTTCAAGTTTACCATAAACAAAAAAGTATTTCTTTAAAAAAATATTACTTAAGTCGTAAGATGATATGAGCGACCACGATATTTCAAACATTTCGTGTATCAACTTTGGCCTTACTTCGTGAAGCAACTTGCCAACCTCTACCGACTCGAGCGAGCATTATTGCAAAGGCAGTTTGTCATGAAAAAAGGTAGAAGATTATATCATTATTGGTTTCCATTTCAGCCAAAGCATTATTGTTGGGCTGGTGGATCACTTGTCATTATGATATTTTTGATTCCTTGCCCAACGGTATTTCGGTTTACCAACACGAACATTTTTTTAAATTCAAATATACATTTAGTTGATTAAAAATCACTTGAATTATCATATGAATTTAGTATTATAAGTGATGATTTTCTTAGGGTGGCCAAATTGCCCCATCTCCCCTAGATAGAATATAAGCATCCGAAATTCACACTCTTAATAGACTCGCACTGTCTAGCAAAATTGATTTGGAAACTGAGTTGACAGTCCAAATCGAGCAAAGACGGTGAATCCGATGCAAAAGACGATTCCTGTGAACCCAAGCGCAACTATAATGCCCCTATTGAATCTTCATGCTCTAATGTCTTGCCTTTCTTTCCATCCACCAGGTCGGCAATTCTCAGCGAAGTACAAACACAGAGTAGTACCAAACTTCCATCGAACAAATCAGTGCTCGTGCTGGGCGACAATGCGAGCGGCAAAACGACACTGATTGCCAAGCTACAGGGCGTCGAAGATCCCAAGAAGGGCTCCGGCCTGGAGTACGCCTACATAGACGTGAGGGACGAATATCGAGATGGTGAGTTCGGTTTGTACTATATTTCGCGATGTACCTATATTTTCTGAATGTTTTCTTTTTTCATTTCAGACCTAACCCGCCTCGGAGTGTGGATATTGGATGGCGACCCCGGGCACATCAACCTGCTCAAATATGCCCTAAACGAGTCGAACTACGCACACACACTGGTCATTCTGACGCTATCGATGACGACCCCATGGAGCTGGGTGGATCAGCTGCAGCACTGGATCAAGATGCTGGATGATCACATAGCGGGGCTGAAAATCGAGCCGGGTAAGTCTCTGCTTAGTTTGAATGTGAGGTGGTGATTATGCTTTGTCTCGTCCAGCTCGGTAACACTAGAACAAGCATGCGTGGCCTCGAAACTGTGCGCCACACAGCAAAAAGCTTTTAAACGAATCGGATCACGTTACAGCTGCTTGTAAGGTTTCCGATTTCGGTTGTCCCTTTCTATCGTCACCGTCCTTGAAATTTGAAAATTGCTTCATTAACACGATGTTTCTGTTTATGGTTCATTCCAGAGGAACGACACCAGTGCCGCCAGAGGCTGGTAGCGGTGTGGCAGAGCTATTGCGATACGATCGATGAGCTGGACCCTGGGTCCCCTATCAAGCGAACCAATCGTCTCTCGTCGGTGGACGACGATCTGGACGCGCTTCCGCTCCCAGAAGGTGTACTAACGACCAATTTGGGCTTAGATGTAGTAGTTGTTGTAACGAAAGTACGTGTCTGATTCTCTCTGACCCATTTCCCACTAATAGCATTACAACTGATTGTGCTATTCTATCATCTACCTGCCTGCATAATTGCTTCAATTGCTATCGGCAATACTAATGACTTTCGACCGAATTCTGCTCCCTTAATGCTTGCAGACCGATTATATGACCACCCTAGAGAAGGAGCTGGACTACCGAGATGAGCACTTTGACTTCATGCAGCAGTGGATCCGTCGGTTCTGTCTGGTGTACGGGTCGTCTCTGTTCTACACCAGCGTCAAGGAGGACAAAAACTGCGACTTGCTCTACAAATACCTAACGCATCGGATCTACGGGCTACCATTCCGTACACCGGCGCTGATCGTCGAGAAGGATGCCGTGCTAATGTAAGTTTAAATTCTCCCGATCTCCCAGGTGGGAACATTTCTGAACTTCTTTCCTCCTTCCCCAGACCCGCTGGTTGGGACAATATGAAGAAAATTAACATATTGTATGAAAACATGCAATCGTGTAAGCCGGATGATTACTACAATGATATTATTGCACAACCGCCTTCAAGAAAGGTAAGTTAAAGTGTTTGGAAAAAGAAATCCTCGGTCAAAATTTACACTATCCATGTTTTCCAGACTGTGTCCAATCGTGAGATTGAAGTTCAGACCGAGGAAGAGCAGGCGTTCCTGAACCGGCAGCTGCAACTGCTGCAACAGGGTCAGACGCCAACGCGCGGCGAGTCGCCAATGCGATCGCAGAACAGTGCGGGCAAAACGTCCCCGCGAACTCCCGGTTCGGCGGGTGCGCAAGGATCACCAAAAAAGGTATGTCCATTTCAAAACCGTCGCTCAGAAGATTCAAATCTCAGTTTTCTCTTCGTTAATTTCTGGTATGTTTCGACAACTTCTACGAAGCTTAATAAATTTTTACTAATTTTCTACCAAGTTTGTAAACTTGAATCTATTTCCTATAACTTAAACTATGTTCCCTGAGCATCTACAAAATGCACTTAACTTCTGCAAAACTTCATCGACTACTTTTTTTTACGTAATTCCCTACAATTTTACGAAGCATGTTGAGCTTCTACAAAGTTTGCCGACCTTCCACTAGGTGGCCTGAACTTTTAAAATAATACCTGCACTTCTACATACTTCATACGAAGTTTTACGTAGTTCTTCGAATTGCTACATCGTTTACTACAAAGTTCACCGTGCTTTGACGTTTCTCGTTGATTCTGCGAATTTGTTTTATGCTGAACTTATACGGAATCCTCTGATCTATATAAAGTCAATCAAACATCAAAGAAGTGCACTGAAATTAAAAGAAGGTCCTAGAGATGTTATTATTTTAATTAAACTAATTAACTAATTAAACAATGCTCCCTTAACATTTTCGAATTTTCCTGAAGTTTGATAAAACTCCCGGAACTTCAACGAAGCTCTTCGAATAAATAAAAATCACTAAATTCATATGAAGTTCACAAAATTCCTATTACATTCGCTATAAATACTTCAACACAATTTGCTGAACTTCTACAAATCCCACTGAAGTTCAATAAAGTTCGTTAAGCTAGTACCTACAGTACTTACCTTACCAATCAAGCTAAGGCCTTGTTGTCCTCTGCTGTCCGAAGAAGTCGTCTCCACTCTACTCGATCCATGGCCACACTTCGGCAGTCTCGTAGTCTGCGGGTCCGCAGGTCGCCTTCTACTTGGTCGATCCGCCTTGCCAGCTGTGCGCCTCTTCTTCTTGTTCCTGTTGGGTCGCTTTCTAGAACCACTGGGTCGTCGTGCGGCATTCTTACGACGTGCCCAGCCCACCGTAGTCGCCCAATTTTTGCAATGTTGACGATGGATGGTTCTCCCAGCAGCTGGTGCAATTCGTGGTTCATTCGCCTCCTCCACGTTCCGTCATCCATCTGCACTCCGCCGTGGATGGTACGCAACACCTTCCGTTCGAAAACACCAAGGGCGCCTTGGTCCTCCACGAGCATAGTCCAGGTCTCGTGACCGTAGAGGACCACCAGTCTAATCAGCGTCTTGTAGACAGTCAACTTCGTGCGGCGGCGAATTTTATTCGACCGGAGCGTCCTCCGGAGTCCATAGTAGGCACGATTCCCTGCCATAATGCGTCTTTGAATTTCTCTGCTTGTATCATTTTTGGCGGTCACCAGTAAGCCCAAATACACGAACTCATCAACCACCTCGATTTCGTCACCGTCAATCTGAACTCGGGGTGGGAGGCTAACATTGTCTTCCCTAGAACCTCTTCCTTTCATGTATTTTTTCTTTGATGCGTTGATGGCAATTCCAATCCGCCTAGCTTCAGCCTTCAGTCTGATGTACGTTTTCGCCATCGTCTCAAAGTTCCATGCCATGATGTCAATGTCATCGGCGAAGAAAATAAGCTGGATGGACTTCCTGAAGATCGTGCTAACGCGATGTTGAATAGCAGACAAGAAAGTCCATCACCTTGCCGTAGCCCCCTTCGAGATTCAAAGGGACTCGAGAGTGTCCCCGAGCAACGCACATCACTCGATCCATCGTCGCCTTGACCAACCGCGTCAGTTTATCCGGAAATCCGTACTCGTGCATAATCTGCCATAGCTGATCTCGATCGATTGTGTCGTATGCGAATTTGAAATCGATGAACAAATGATGTGTGGGCACGTTGTATTCGCGGCATTTCTGCAGAACCTGCCGAATCGCGAAAATTTGGTCCGTGGTAGCGCAAGCACCCATGAATCCCGCCTGGTATTGCCCCACGAATTCTCTTGCAAATGGTGACAGACGGCGGCATAGAATTTGGGAGAGTACCTTGTAGGCGGCGCTCAGCAGTGTGATCGCGCGGTAGTTGCAGCAATCCAACTTGTCGCCCTTTTTGTAGACTGGGCATACGAAACCTTCCATCCACTCCTCCGGTAATATCTCCTCCGCTCTAGCCAGAGCTTCGCAGCCGTATTTTAATAGCTCACTTGGTAATTGATCTACACCATTTGCTTTGTTGTGTTTCAGCCGACCGATCTCCTCCTCAACTTCTTGAAGATCAGGGGCCGGTAGCCTGTCGTCTTCTGCGCGTGCTCCAAGGTCTGTTGCCGTGCCACCTTCGTTTTCTGCTGCTTTACCGTTGAGGTGCTCGTCATAGTACTGCTTCCACCTCTCAATCACCTCACACTCGTTCGTGAGAAGGTTACCGTCCAAGTCCTTGCACATATCGGCTTGCGGCACGTAGCCTTTGCGCGAACTATTTAGCTTCTCGTAGAACTTCCGTGTGTCGTTTACGCGGTACAGATTTTCCATCGCCTCGCGATCTCGCTGCTGACGCTTCTTCCTTCTGACGCTTCTTCCTTCGGAAAACCGAGTTTTGTCTGTTCCGCGCCTGTCTGTATCGCTCCACATTCAATCTCGTGCGGTGCTGCAGCATTCTCGCCCGTGCTGCTTCTCCTCTACTACTAGTTTGCATTCGCCGTCAAACCAGTCATTTCTTCGGTCCGGGATTGCAGTACCTAGTGCCGCTGCAGCAGTACTACCTATGGCTGAACGGATGTCCCTCCAGCCATCTTCAAAAGAAGCTGTGCCAAGCTGCTCTTCCGTGGGTAGTGCAACTTCCAGCTGCTGCGCGTAGTCCTGGGCAACTCCGGCGTCCCGTAGTTGCTCAATGTTGGGTCGCGGCGTTCGACTCCGCGAGTGCATACTGCAACTAGGTAGTGGTCCGAATCTATGTTCGCACTGCGGTACGTGCGGACGTTGATAATGTCGGAGAAGAATTTCCCGTCGATTAGAACGTGATCGATTTGGTTTTCTGTGTGTTGGTCAGGTGATCTCCAGGTGGCTTTGTGGATATCCTTGCGGGAGAAAAAGGTACTTCGAACTACCATTCTTCGAGAGGCTGCAAAGTTCACGCATCGTTGGCCGTTGTCGTTCGATGCGGCATGCAGGCTGTTTGGCCCGATTGCCGGTCTAAGGCCTGTACTCGAAAAAAAATGCACCAGACAAAAGTGTTCGCAAAAAACTTCTTTTAAGTCGGATTTTCTTGAAACTTTCAGGGAATGAACTAATTCCTTTCATCCTTTCCATCGCTGAAAGCCCGCACCTTTCCCTTAAGACCCCTCATTACATTTTGTGCAATGGTGGAGCCGACCTTTTTGGTCACTTTCATCCATTCTTTCTTCAACTCCAGCTCGTTCTTAAACACTTTGGACGATTTTCATTAAACCTTCATTATGGCCCAAAATCTTTCCACCGGACGATTCTCTGGTGAATTTGGGGGGTTGGCGGTTTTTGGTACAAAACAACGTTACAGTGGGGGAAATTCGTTTAAACGCAATGTCATTTTTGCGTTTATTTTCAACACAAAAGATCGAGACAAAAAATCAAATATAGTTTGTCATAGCCCATCAGAAGTCTCGTATTTGAGAACACAATTTGATTGGAAGTTCATAATGACTTTTGAAAAAATCCCAAAAAAGGTGATTTTGGGGGGGACATTCGTTTAAACGCACACTAACGTAAAGCCGCATTGAGCGTACCTATGCTCCTGTTATCTTGCGCATCTGTCATATTTACACTGTATAGCCCTCGTTCGCCATTAACACGAGTTTAAATTTGCGTTGCGCGGTAGTTGTTGCTTGTTTTCGGCAAAATGGGTAAAGGAAAGTATTTAAGCCAGTCGGTACCCATTGTGATGTACGGTTTACTCAGTTTACCGCATTGGCATATGGCCTGCCAGAGCAAGTATTTTTTGGTGAATCTGTCCACTTTCTTCGTCCTTATGTCTTCCGAAACATTAAACCGTGATTTGGCAACGTAGAACTTTAGTCCCGGTATCTGCTTTACGTCTGCCTTGATGTAGGTTTCGTCATTCATAACCACACACATCGGTTTCGTTAACCACTCTCGATACAGCTTCCGGTGCCTTCCGGACCTTGAATACACGAAGCCCAGCTCGTTTCATGGTTTGCTGAACGAACCAGGCGGAACACTTTGCCTTCAGAGCCGCGTCGCGAATCGAAAGGTTTGGATTACGCTTGAAATAATCCAACACCTTCCGGGCCTTCACAGGGTCAGCTGTCTTCGATTTTCTTCCACTTCCAGCCCGCCGCTCGGTCGTCTGGGACTCCTTAAACAATTTTACCACCCGATACACAGTTGTATGGGTGATTCCAAGGCTGGTAGCAGGTCACTTTTAAGTGACTTGGTCACTATTTTTAAGCCAGTCACTAAAAAGTCACTTTTTACACCAAAAAGCCACTAAAGTCACTATTTCCCTAAAAATAGACACTAAAGCCACTTTTTCACTACTAAAAGAGAGTGAAATTTAAAAACATCAAAAATGTTTAAATTGAGTACTTGGCACTAAGAAAGTCTACAGTAGTTTTAACAAAATATACATATCTGTTAAAAAATTAAAATTTTAACCAGGGTGACCAGTGAACCGCAAAACTTAAAAACACCAGAAAAACTATTGGGGAATGCCTACAATTTCGATTAAAAATCTGGAAAAATATATCTCCTTTCCCTGAAAATAAATTGTTAACCTTGGAAGGTTTCCAAAGGTATTTGTCTGTGATAGATTTTCAAAAGTCTTTCAAGGAAGAGCTTCAAAAAATCCATAGTAAATTTTAAGAGAATTTTAAAGGATTCTAGGGATGATACCAAGATATATCAGAGAAGAACACCAAAGTACAGACTACGAAAGTATCATGTAAAATTAAGTGCTCTGAGGACCGATTTCATCTTCTCCGCTTAAATCTTAAGCCAGGTTTACCTATGTAGTTAAACTTGGCTTAACACATACGAGCGTCGCTTTTGATTATTGTTTAAATTATAAGAGACGCAAAATTCAGCTCCGAAACAATTTTGGAAATAATTCTAATTTAATTGAGAGTTCATTTTAACGAGAGTTCTTAAAAGAATTATTTGATTATTGTATGAGGATTCTAGGTCCAATTCTAATAAGAATTCAAAATTAGTTCTGAAATTTTGCTTAAGAGCGCTCTGATGAAAATTCCATGAAAATCCCGTGAACTCCAAAGATGGTATCTGCGGATAGTTCTAAAAGAATTCTGGGGTGATTTTTGACGATACTTCCAATAGAATTCTAAAGAGTTCGAAATAAATTCCGAGAAGAATTCCAATGGAATCGAATTTTGAGGGTTCAATCTCAAAGGAATTCTGAGAAGTGTTTCAAAGTTTGTGATGGATTTTTGTTTTGAGAATTCTGAGGAAATACTATGCGGATTCTAAGGAGATTACGAATTAAATTTTCAATTGAATGCAAGGGAGAAGTCCAAGATTATTCTAAGCAGAAATTTATGAAATTTCTAAGGTTAATTGCATGGAAATTCTAAGGACGGATTTATGAAAGGAGCCTTAAGGGTGTTCCTAGAAGAATCAATAAAAATCGAAAATAATCTACTTTAACTAATCATGTGTTATTACTTCATGCGTGAATTTAACGATTTACATAGTCGGAGATGCTTAACGTCAAATATCAGACTTAAAGTGGAGATTTTATACGAGCTTGGTAAAGGAGATGATCTACCCTATTCGTATCTTTCTTAAAATTGTACTTTGTTCTCTTTCCGCTTTCCATATGCAAATTTCACACTGCCACACTATAACGGAACTATCAACTCTTTACTTTAATCTCCTCATTCATCGTATAAAATGTCCACTTTAATTCTGATATTTTATGTAAAGCATTTCCAACTACGAAAATAATCTATTTCCAAGAATTTTGTTGATTGTTCTGCAAAGAATTTCAAGAATGCAACATTTTTTTTGTAAAAGCTTATTTGCCTCTAAGTTTAAGAGAAGGGGAATTATTCTAAAAAAGTTCTTGAGATCATTCTGAAGAAATTCCGTGGAAAGTTTTTAGCAAATTATCAAAGTTATCTACCTAGATATATCAAATATTTAAAGATTTCAGAATCAAATCAAGATCATAAAAAATTGGAATTACTATTTGCTAGTCATCAAAGTAAGTAAAAGTGTATGATTCAAATCACTTCAAATGCTCCTCATAGGAGATTCCGTTGTGAGATTCTATTAAATTAGAGGAATTTATTAAATTTTATATTTAGTTCCATGACATAAAAAGTTTATTTCAATATCAAACCGTATTTGAATTTCTATGTTACCATATAAATGGTGACTTATTTAGTATTTACAAGTCACTATTTGGTCACTATTTCCGTAAGTTTAGTAACTAAAGTCACTACTATTATATCACATCAGCACTACCAGCCCTGTGATTCCCAGTTGTCTTCCGATCCATCTCATGGTCGCAGTCGGATTTTCCATGACGGCGCGCAAAATTCTCCGGCGATTTTCTTCTTGTTTCGATGACATCCCAATAACCACTGAACCGATTGTTATGAAATTTTGCACATGTAAACAATTCACTCCAAACTAGTTATACCCAGATTTTGATCAATTTTTACCCATGGATAAAAAAGTTACACACGGATAGTGCATTGTGCATTTGTGCAATGGTGCATTTTTTTTTCGAGTGCAAGCCTTATACATTGCCTCCCGTCCTACCTGAGCGTTCATGTCGTCGATGACGATTTTGACGTCCCGTTGCGAACAGCCGTCGTACACCTGCTCCAGCTGCGCATAGAACGCTTCTTTCTCGTCGTCGGGTCTCCCTTCGTGTGGGCAGTGAACGTTCATGATACTGTATTTAGTTGAAGAAACGGCCCTTAATCCTCAACTTGCACATCCTAGCGTTGATTGGCTGCCAACCAATCACGCGTTGGTGCATCTTACCCAGCACTACAAAGCCGGTTCCCAGCTCGTTGGTGGTGCCACAGCTCTGGTAGAAAGTAGCCACTCGATGCCCGCTTTTCCATACCTTTTGTCCCGTCCAGCAAAGTTCCTGCAGTGCTACGACTTCAAAGATGCGTGGTTGAAGTTCGTCATAGATTAACTTATCGCAACCCGGGAAGCCGAGCGATTTGCAGTTCCATGTTCCGAGTTTCCAATCGTAGTCCTTATTTCGTCGCGTAGGTCTGTGCCGATTGTTCCGATCCGTATTTCTTTATTCAGTATTTGCAACTTTATGTTTTTTTTCCAGGGCGGCTTGTTGGGCCTGCCCCAACCCCCTGTCTCGCCGCACAGCAAAAAAATAATTTTGATATCACGTCAAAGTGGATGCTCTACAATCATGTCGAAAATATGGTGTAATATTACTTGCTAAAAAGGACAAAATTATCATTAATACAATGCATGAACTGACATTGCGCTGCTTTTACTGCATTTGTTTATTTATGTGGTCATAAAAATTACATGAAATTTTCGACATGAATGTAGTGCATCCACTTTGATGTGATATCAAAATTATTTTTTTGCTGTGCGGGGGACCAACGTGCACAGCTCTGTTTAGAGTCACACGCTGGCACTAGGACGGTGATCAGCCGCTCCTAACATGGAGAACAGATGCCGTTTTGAGCCGCACCTCCATGGTGAACAGATGCTCGGGTTTGGTACCTACAGAGTTAGTTGAATTTCTACAAAGTTAGCTGGCTGCACTTCTACACAGTTCTGAACTCTTATTAAGTTCCTGAGATTTTACGCAGTTTCCTGAATTAAAATGACGTTCCCTTAGCATCACTTCTGTTTTGTCACTCAGTTTACAAAATCAAAAATATTGACCGCAAAATTCTCCATTCCTGGTCGCATAAAGCAGTTCCAGGCAAAATAGCGAAAACTGAAATTGAATTTTTGAATCGACCCTCTTCTATTTGCATGAAACTTTGCGAAACTATTTGTTATGGGCAATGATTCACATTTTCGCTGAAATTCGGCCATTTTCTAGCTTGTAAATTGTAATTGTAACACGAAATGACGTCTGAGACAAAGTTGTAGAGAAAATATCAAAATGAAATTCATTTCACGGAATTCCGCAAAATGGGTTTCCGCGAAATGTACAATCGTTGATTTTATTGTCTTAGGAAGTCTATTTAAATCTAACGGGCCTGAGATTGAACTGACGACCTTCAACTAAGGCTGAACCGGTTACTAATTTCTTTCGGTATTTGCAATAAAATAGAATAATCAGTCTACTGTGGTCTGCCAGTAAACCACCTGTCCTCATTAACTTTCCCCCACTAACCACCCGTATTCCATTGCACTATTTACAGGTCGATGGCAAGCTCAACCCCGGCACGCCCAGCGGCGAAGGTGTGCTGGCCAACTTCTTCAACTCGTTGCTGCATAAAAAGTCCGGCTCGCCGGCTGCGGCCAGTTTAGCGGGCACCGGTGTGTCTCCGCGGGCAACGAACGGCGGCGATATGGTGTCGGCCAGCGAGAAAATTTCCATGCGAACTGACGCTGCCATGGAGCTGGACCGTTTGACGCGTAGCGTCAAGAAGGATCTAGACTTTCCAGCACAGACCGATTGTTAAGTATAGTAGGAACACAACAGACAGAAACACACACCCACACACCCACATGGTAATTTGCTGAGGTACGGTAAGCCTTTTTCCGGGGTTCAGTTGAACCGTTTGGGATGAGGAGGAAGGAACCACGGAGGAATATATATGCACGTCGTGTGATATTTGGCTTAATTGGCTTCATATTCTACGCTGGCTGCGAGATGTGGTTTTGTTTGTGGGGAATGCGAGCATGCGTGGGATATCGGGACGGAATGGATGGATGGATGGAGTTTGGTTTTGGATGAAACAAAGCTGGAGTGCGTGTCGAACACAGAATTGAGGGATCCTCTATACTCGGGAGATACGCAAGATATGTGGGAAAATGCTTATCGGAAACCACTTTTAGTAGTTAGGTAGTAGTGCAAGAACGTAGAGAGATTAAGTTGATAGAGAAAGTTTAATAAAACCAGAATGAATACATCTCTTTCTGCTTCCCGCTATGTTGGTGCTAAACTGATTTGCTTCGTAGAAGATCAAGTCCCTTCTACTACGTGTACGTATAAAAATTTGCACTTTCGAATTTTAGAAGTTTTATCATGAGTTTTATGATTTCCTTCGGCATCTTTCAAAATTCTTGCCTTAGAGAAAAAAAAGGTAGCACCAATCTTATTGCACGCTCTCAGTTCATTGTTTTGTTTTTACCATGTGGCACCGATTCGCGAGCAGCAGGAAGGGACGAGAGTACCCCTAAAAAAATGCGTAACGCAAGTGAGAGTAATACATTACTATTAATTAAAAACTAACTTATATCGAATTGATAATAATTTGCAGCTTAGAGATGGTTAAAAGAATAAAAAAAAAGTAACTTAACTTATAGAAAACATTTATCCATTGTAATTCCTCATTGATCAAAATCAAAAAAAGAAAACCACGAATGCAAGATAACGAAAAAAAACACGGTAGAAAATCATTTCTCATTTTGTCCTTTTGTTGACCAATTGACAAAGACAAAATCTTTTTTTGTAATAATTTGTTTCGCACCCATCAAATTTGTCGACATCCTCAGTTTCCTTGAAGCGTTGAATTTCAGGCGATTGTTTGTGCGAACTGTGCATGCGGGAACTCAGATCGAACTCAGATGCGCGTTTAGAGCGTAAACCTCAAAAAGTGAACCCGTTTGGAGTTTCAGTATGCCACAAACCCGCGGTCAAATTGGGATCAACCGTACGTGCAGTATTTATAAATGTTATACTAGAGAGAGAGAGAGAGAGAGAGAGCAACGATTATACTGTCCATTATCCTTATTGTAACGCGATTGCTTGCTTGGTTTTGTTGTAAAGTTTCCATTTAGAAATTCCGTTATGTTATTTTAGAGAGAAAGATAGATTTTTTTATCGACTTTTTTGTTGAAAACAAAAAAAAAGCGTTTAAAAGATTGAACAGATCCAGCGAGTAATCTTATCATTGTTCTTATTTATGTGAACTTATACCGATAAATTAGAGGAAAATTACAATTACATGCGCATCTACTAGGGCGCGTAATGGCTAACTAACGAGGAGGAAAAACAGTAAGAAGTACTAATGAGTCAGCAGCATTAAAAAAAAAACTAAAATCGTCTTTTTTCCCCGTGGGGGAAATTCCTGTAGCAAACACTATTATACTGACATCCTTTTGCAAAACTAATGCGGGGAGGAACCAATTTGGGCGTATTGAATAAAACCAAGACACTACTGTGTAAAATGAATTATTGCAAAAAAGGGAATTGCGCGGTTTGCCATCGCTGTTGTTATTCATCCGAAATCCTTGCCGTTTTGTGGAGTAATTTCTATTTAGTAGGACTGAATAATCAATTAATAAATATTTGAATCGAGTCATAACATGATTTTATAAGGAGTAGGTGTTCGACGCAATTGTTAATAAGGTAATGCAAACCGATAAAGATCCCGTGATCGTCAGCACATAGCTACTATTTACGATATGAAAGCATGAGCATGCACCTACACTTGATTCGGTTCGGAAGACACTATTAACTGTGATGTAAGGGGCACGGTGGCCTTAGGCTGACCGTTTTTGCTTACTGAACAGAAGATCGTGGGTTGAAACCCAAGCCTCTTTACATTACTGAGTTGATAGGGTCGCATCATTTGCTTAACAGGTTTTAAAAGATCGCATCACTTTCCAATGTGAATCCCCTACACCATATTAGCGCCGGACTCTCCCACCCGGTTGAGCCGGTCTGGCATACACTCCACCGTCGACATCTTCGGCAGCAACATGGGAGACAACGGGGCTTATTACGGATGTCACTTCACGGTGAAAACTTGTCACTTGTCGTCACGGTGAAGTGATTCCCATTTGATTTGTACGGCAATCACGGCTCTTATTCTGAGTATCACTTCCTAATCACCGTGTAGTGACACCCGTAATGAGGCCCAACATCTCGCAACCTGTGACCCACTAGGAACAATACGTGCTAGTATCCAGACAGATGAGCAATACTCTGAACCTTGATAGAATTACCAAAAATCTTGTTAGACTCCGTAACTCAATTGGAAGGCAATACCAACGTTCTGGCTTGTCTGTCTTGAAGACCCACTGTAATCGCCTAACAAAAAACCATCCAAGCCAGGATGGTGGTCCTCAACAATCAGAACTTTGCTAGAAGGATCCGCTCTCTCCCAGATTGTGCCAAGCCCTGTTGGAAGCTAACCAAAATTCTTAACAATAAACCAAGACCCAGTCCACCACTGACCCCACTGGATAGTCACGGCGACCCAGTGGTTCATCTGATAAATCCAGAAGAGAAAGCTGCCGCGATAGGTCAACACTTCGTCAGCTCCCATAATCATCGTCAGCCCTCACGAAGCTGGGGTTGCTGAAAATGCAACCAACCTCCATCAGATTTCTAATATTTTTCCCGAGGAATCCGAGATTACGGCTGACGAACTGTTGGCCTATATAAAATCATCTGAAAACATGAAGGCCTCAGGTTTCGACAACATCCTGAATTTGGAACTCAAACACTTAAGTTCCACATTCTACAACCATCTGGTACTGATTTTTGATCTGTGTCTTCAACTTGGCTGCTTCCCCTCGTGTTGAAAGTCAGCTAAAGTCATACCCATCCGGAAACCTGGGAAGGATATCCGTCCTCTCTTTCAAGTTATTGACCAATCAGCGTTCTGTCAGGGTTATCAAAACTGTTTGAAAGAGCAGTCTATCACCGGCTCCTAACATGTGACGAAGAAAACAACTTGTTACTTGAAGAAAAGTTTGGTTTTCGGAAAGGTCGTTCGACCGTCCACCAGCTGCCTCGAGTAACAAACATTCTCAGACGGAACAAGTCTGTTCCGAAAACATCTACCATGACGTTGTTGCTGTGACGTGTGCGCGTAGATACATCTGCGTAGTAAACCGATTGAATAAGTAAATCCGTTTCGAACGAAATATCTAAATTAAGTAAGTTAAGAAAACCGGGCGAATTCCGAAAGCCGTGCGAGTACAACCAAAATAAATGTGATAGCCCATGTTGGCATGTTGATTAATTTTGGTTTCCTCCCTAGATATTCTACTTATTTACTACTGAGCTTTGTATCAAATTAGTTAATTTAAAGAACGTTTCAAGATTTCGCGACCGTACCGAACAAATTCTAAACTACAAAAGCTCAAAAAAAAAATTTTGTTTTTTTTTGGTAAGCTCTACCGAATTGCGAATTACTTCCGCGTAAGCTCCGTAGACGTAGGGGCGTTGATTCCGACAGCCGCGAAAAGTTAAATATGCATCAATACCACATAAGGAAAGACCGATTTTACGTAGGGCTTAGTTCATAGATTACCATTGACTGCTGTTTACAAATGTAAGTACTTGAACACTAAGAAATAATTTAACTCAAATGCTTTAACCGCATATATAAGAGATTTCACGTATTGTGAGAATAATATAGTAATCGAGTACAACAAACTCAGGGGAATTACAATACCTCCACAAGTTTAAAAGTTATTAATTGTCACATACCTCTACTTTTACTTATTTCCTAAACTATTCCTCTCCTTTTTAATCTGCTTAATGCTATTGGTCTGCTTGCGTTTTCTTATTAAAGTTCAAGACTAAATAAGAAGATTTATTCTACAACTTTAAAGGTTAGTTGCCTCCCTCGCATCCTAATTATTTTGTTAATCTACTTAATGTCATTAGACTTTCGGAAGTTTCTTATTTAAGTTCATTTGATAATTATGATATCTCATTAGTTTAATTTAATACATTATTAAAAGCTCTCAATCATAACCAGCGAATCCAAATTTATGTGTTAACGCACGTGTATCATCTTCGGCTTTACTTCGTGAAGCAGCTTGCCAACATTTGCTCGTTTCCTTCTACCGCCCCGAATGAGTTGTGTCGCACGGGCTGCTTGTCATGAAAAAGTACAAAGAAGATTATATCATTATTGCTTTCCACTTCTGACATAGCGTTATTATTCGGTTCGTTGATCGCTTGTCATTTTTTCATTTGGAGATATTTTTGATTCCTTGATCATAACCCATGCTTTATTAAGTACCTGGACTTGTGCTTGTGATTACACGTGCTTCAAGTACTTTTGATTTTGGCCTATATATATTTATTATATCTTAGTTCGACACAGGTAACACCTTCATGAGACTAAAATGCTTCATTCTTGCATTTTCCTAGCTGATTTTTAAATTATATAGGGTATATGCTCCACCTATGCTCACACGCTTCCACTATGTAGCACCACAAAAATACGTATGGGTATGTCACAATAGGAGCACGCCACTGTGGAAATCCCGAGCCATAGTTCAAACACTGATCCTAAATCAAAATGAAGCACATATAAGATTAGTTACAATACCATGTACAAAAATGATGTTTAACATTGTTTCCTGAGTAATACCATAGAGGTAACTCTAAGACCAAAAGGTCTCGAAGAAACGTGCTCAACTTTTTGGCTCAGCTCTGGTACTATCTTCGGTCCCAAGCTAATCGATTCACCCCTCGAAACATAGGAAAATCCATAACCCCTCATTTTATCTGTTAAACTTTCATTGAGAATCAAAACAAACATAGTGTAGTACTAGAATTTTGATTAGAATGGGGTACGTCAATCGTTTGCTTGGGACCAATAGGCTAGTCAAGTGGTGAGTCAATTTAAAATCGTAAGTTTCGTATTGATTGTTGGTAATACTTCAATGAAAACAACAATGAAAGCTTGTCACGCAAATAGAAGGAGCACCGTTGGGCACTTTCTTAAATATTTCAATAGTATAATTCCCTTGCAAACCCAAATAAATCTATCTGTGTAAAAATAAATAAAATAAGAGTGATTTGCGGCAAAACCCGCCAGTATCACACCCAACGTCAGTGCCTATATGTAAGCGTACTAATTAAAGGAGTAACAAGTGTGATACCATAGAGGTAACTCTAAGACCACTGGGTCCCGAAGAAAATCATTATTATTTTTGGCTCACTCAGTACCAGAACAACGGTCCCAAGCAGTCCCAAGCTATTTCACTCACCCCTGCATGTTCTGCATGAATCCACACACCCCTGATGTTATCTGTCAAACTTTCATAGCGAATCAAAACAAACATAGTGTAGTAATAGAATTTCAACTAGAATAGGGTACGTTAATCGTTTGCTTGGGACCAATAGGCTACTAAAGTGGTGAGCCAATTTAAAATCGTTAGTTTCGTATTGATTGTTGGTGATACTATCACTGCTAGACTAGATCTTTGGTTCCCTCATGCAGTGGTTATCAGAGAGGGGAAGCTTAGTAATCCCCATTGCCTTTGCCTGCCCATGGCGCCATTCTATCGCGGCATGAGCCAGCAATGCCGGCCATAAACCTACCGTCTCCAACACTCCACTATAAAGCATGAAATTAAGCCCGCCAACCAACAGCAAGGTGCAAAAACTAGCCAAGAGGAGGGAATAATTTACATTCATTCAAGTTAAGTCATATTAATTAATACAAGTCATTTGGGCTACAAAATGGTGAGTGACAATCTGGAAGGAGTGATATACCTAGCTTCGGACCTTACAAGTTCCTACCTCACGCCTCCACGAGTCATATGATCACAAAAGACTGCCAGCTGAAACATGGACACAGCTGGTTGGCGTAGCCTGGGCAATGTTGTCAATCCGACAATAGCAGAGTGAGGAGGTGCGACGCGAACACTGGCGCGGTAACCATAGCACGGTGATAGAGGAAATGCTTCGCCAACCCGAGCGTCTGTTCACCATGGAGGTGCGGCTCAAACAGCGTGTGACTGGCATCCAGCGGCTGAATAAGAAATGCTCTTCCCCGGAAGTTACACCTAAGGCCAACCACCTACTGTCTCTGAAACCTTTACAATTGTTACAGAAACCAACAGAGAAAGACATCGAACTGATATAACGGCAACGACTTTTAGCGCAAAACAACGGACACGAATTGGATCATGGAATGTATTGACGTTAGCCCAGCAGAGTAAACTGGCACTACTCGCCAACGAGGCGCGACGCATGAAGCTAGAAATCCTGGGACTGAGTGAAGTTCGTTGGCCAAACTTTGGAGAACACAAACTGCCGTCGGGACAGGTGCTACTATACTCTGGTATTCGAGGTGAAAACGCTCCCCGCCATCGTGGAGTTGGTCTCCTACTTAGCGCCCAGGCAAGTGCTGCGCTCATCAAGTCGGAGAGGATAATCGTTGCCAGATTTAGAACACGGGTTCGTAACCTTACCATAATCCAATGTTATGCGCCAACCGATGCTGTCGAGCTACAGGACAAGGAGAATGCCGTCGTGGATAAGGTTCCAAAGAGTGACATCAAGATCTACACTGGCGACTTCAATGCGAAGATCGGCTCCGACAACACGGACTATGAGCGTGTCATGAGACGCCATGGTCTCGGCGAAATGAGCGAGAACGGTGAGCTGTTTGCAGAATTTTGTGGCAATAACGACATGGTGATCGGGGGCTCGCTCTTCCCCCATCGGCCAGTGCACAAAGTCACGTGGGTTTCCCGTGATGGACATACCGAAAATCAGATCGACCACATCTGCATCAGCCGAAAATGGAGACGGAGCCTTCTTGATGTCCGGAATAAACGCAGCGCCGACATTGCGTCTGACCATCACCTTCTAATCGGTGAAATCCGCCTACGCATGGCACGAATCCAGCGACGGGAGGAGATACTCGGGCGGCGGTTCAACACACGCCGACTTGAAGATCCAGCGGTAAAAAGGTCTTTTGTTGAAGAACTTGAGACTCGAGCTGCGGACGTTCCAGAAGGTGGCAGCGTAGAACAATGGACGGCCATCAAGAATGCCTTTATAGAAACAAGCGAGAACAACTTGGGTGAGCTGTGCACCCAGAGGAAAGAGTGGGCGAGAACCAGAGGAGCCAAGAACGAAGCCCGTCAACGGTACTCGGCTCTAGAGAAGGAAGTCAAGCGCTCTTGCAGACGGGACAAGCAAGCGTGGGTGAACTCCCTGGCCGACGAAGGGGAGAAAGCCGCAAACACTGGCGGTATACGCCTCCTCTACGATATCTCACGACGCCTGAGTGGAGCAAGGATGAACCCGAGGATGCCAGTGAAGGATACGACTGGACAATTGCTTACCGACCCCACTAACCAGCTGAAACGCTGGTTTGAGCACTGCATAACGGAGCCTTGTCCGACCCTATCCGGGTAGCCGCTGGTGTGAGACAAGGATGTATACTATCACCGCTACTGTTTCTCATCGTAATCGACGAGATCATGGTAGGTGCAATTGACCGTGTACCGAACCGTGGGCTGCTTTGGCAGCCTATCACCATGGAGCATCTCAACGACTTCGATTTGGCTGAAGATTTTGCTCTACTAGCACAACGGCGCTCTGATATGCAGAGTAAGCTCAATGACCTAGCCGAACGCTCCTCTGCGGTGGGTCTCACCATCAACGTCAACAAGACCAAATCGTTGGATATCAACACGGGCAACCCTTCCAACTTTACGGTAGCGGGGCAAGCAGTGGAGAAGATCGAAAGTTTCCAATATCTTGGCAGCCAAATAGCGTCGGACGGCGGGACCAAGAGCGACATAGGTGCACGAATCAAGAAGGCTAAGGCTGCCTTTGCGAGTTTACGAAACGTATGGAGATCCAACCAGATAAGTCAACGCACCAAAATCCGAATTTTCAACTCGAACGTGAAATCTGTGTTGTTATACGCCAGCGAGACGTGGTGTGTATCAGCGGAGAACACTCAAAAGCTGCAGGTCTTCATCAACCGATGCCTGCGGTATATAATTCGTGCCTGGTGGCCTCACAACTGGATCTCGAATGCCGAGCTCCATCGTCGATGTCATCAGAAGCCGATAGCAACAGAAATTCGAGAGCGAAAGTGGAGGTGGTTCGGCCACACACTTCGACGGGGCGGAAACGAAATCTGCAAGCAAGCGCTGGATTGGAATCCGGCAGGACATCACAGCAGAGGCAGACCCAGGGGCTCATGGCGGCGGAACCTCAATAAGGAAATTAAGCAAGTCGATAGGAATCTGACCTGGGCCCAGGTCAAGGCAAAAGCGAGCAGCCGCCCAGGATGGAAGTCTTTCACGTTGGCCCTTTGCACCGCTGGTGGTGCACAGGACCCTTAAGTAAGTAAGTAATTCAAGTTATTCGATCAAATCTACATCTCTGTCCTCCAGTAGAAAATATTTAAGCAATGTTGCGTACTCGGTTGCGTGATAATCTTTTTGCTTGATATATGCCATCAGTTTTGCGTAAATTGGGTTGTTTAATTTCGAAAAACATACCGGTTTTTATGCATCATCTGAAAGAGCTTTGTTTTCTGAGCCGACATCCAAAATTTCATCAATTTTGGTACACTGGAACTATTTTAAATAAATACGATTACATTATCATAAATCACCATCTTTGCACCCCTTGGTGGGACTTTGTATGGGAGCTAGCTGTCAACGAATGGATTTAGTTTTAACGATCAAAAATTTAAATCTTGATTTAAAAATCGAGATGAATGTCTACGGGATCTATAAAAATATCGTTGTGCTCAGAAAACGAAGTTCTACCAGATGATGTATAAAAATCGGTATATTTTTGGAAGTTAAACAACCCAATTGGATACAAATCCACGCTTGTAATATCGAACGTCGGATTTGACAGAATTTTGATTAAGCTTTTGCCCTGGTGTACTTTTGTAATCGCAATTAATTCGTCAACTCCATAATATTATTAGGGCATTAGGCCCTAAGTAACATTGACAGATTCTCTTTGTTGACTTTCTCTTTGTATCCCCACGGCCGTGTAAAGACATTCCCCGGTATTTTCATAACACAGATCGATAAAAGAAGCTTTTATCTAGCATCTAATACGACAAACACAACAAGAAACGGTTATGTGCTCAAGTTATTAACGAAAGAGAAAGTCGACGAAGAGAATCGATCAATGTTACCTAGGACCTAATTCAATTTTCTGGTTGATTTGTCAAATGTTTTGGTAGAATGACAGATTGGACTGATATTATATAAATTTTCAAATTGGGCGTTTTTTCACATATTTTTATAATTTTCTGATTATTGATAATTAAAATTTCTATAACAAAACTTAGAGATGGTGAGCTCTGCAGTAAAGAGAAGCATTAAACTCGATTTGTTTACAAATGTCAGATAGGACCTAGATATCTGTCTGTTAAAGAAAGTATTGAACGATAAGAACAGCTGAACATGTTTTTGGAGCCGAATTATTAACGAAAGACAGAGTCGATGAAGAAAATCGTTCAATGAAGATTAATCTATTTGAAAAGAAGACGTGAGATGCCTTAATTTCACCATTTCGAACCGCAACAGTCCTCCCTAATAAAAAATAACCATAAACGAACGATAGCCCAAATCATTGAACTATTCCACAAATGGTTTGGATGATACCCAGAACACGTCGTTAAGCAAATTAACCATACAATTTTTATTAGGGCTGTCACTAACCGGCGCGGTCCAGAAATCAACAAACCCTTCTCCAGTAACTAAGACCTAGTCATATTTTCCCGTACTAGAGAGGTAGTCGGGACCAATGAACAAAAGAAAACCAAACAGAGCCCTCCTACACGGCGAATGAGAACGACCCAAAATGGAGTTTAGTTCACTCATAATCGCCAAAAGTGTCGGAACTGAGCGATGACTAAATTTGCCTCATGGTTTCCTGTGGAAACTCTCGCAAATCTGCCGGAAAATTAGGAAAATTGACGAAAATTTTACTCAGTCTAGGAGTAGTATCAATAGACTGAGTGAATCCAATCTTTACTTTTTTCATATTCGGGAAGTTTTTCTGGACAAACCTGCAAAAACATGAGGCAAATTTACTCATCGCTGAGTTCCAGCACTTTATGGCATTTATGAGTGAACTAAACTCAAATTTGGGTTGTTATCATTCGCCGTGTACTCGTACCATGAAAGCGTGTTTGTCTAACCGGCAGTGCAGTATACTTCCCTGATGAATGGCATCGTCGCCCGTCCATCCAAGCTGGACAACATACACTTGCCTGATGACGACGACGACGACGACTGATAAGACTGATAAACAGATAACGCTGTTGTAGACAAAAAGCCTAGCAAAGCCAGTCCCAGGTAGAAGACTTGCTGCGGCTAGATGTGTGTGAAAGAACCCCTAAACCGCCGTACAATGAATGCAACGAACACACTTCTTGGCATCGCACTGAGCCATAAGACCGTGAGTAGCGTACGTCGTAGTCGTCGCGACAATGGCCTGTAATACGCGACAGTACTTGTCGAACGGTTTATCTAGGCTACGCGCGCGTACGGAAGTGCTCGTTCGAATAAGGATTTCAGTCGGAGTGCGAAGAATTCCTGGATTCCGTCCATCCGAAACGTGGTTGACCATACGCCGTCCGTCACCCGACTGTCCGTTATGTAACGATATAGAAGAACAATCTGACTCTCGGTAGATCGGACCTGCTTTCGTGACAACGTGAATACGCGATCCGACGCAAAATGGAAGCCTTCATCAACGAGATGGTAGAACCGAGGGTGCTGGATTTGATTGTGCTGATTTTGCCGAAATGGAAGCTACTGATATATATCTTTCTGATGAATGTAAGCGAATTAATGGGTTGCGGCCTTCGGTGGCGGTTCGTTCGGGGAAACATTTTACTGCTACGCGAGTTATCTAAACTTAGTTTGGCGATAAGTAGATAAGAGGGCGAGCCTATGCAAACATTTCCCCAGGTACTACTCTGGAAGGTGTGATTGTGATAGTCGGATTTTTTTTTCAATTATCATGGTTGTAAATGTTTTATGAAGTTAACTCAAACATTTCTTCGTGTAAATCACAGGAATACCATAAGCGAGCGCAATGACTCCTTTCTTCCATGTGCTATTTCTAGGGCTTCTATGTCAAAGAAGCTCTTGGGTTCCTGGTTTTTTTTGTGAATCAAACGATGATGTAGAATGTAAATAGATTACGAGTTCATCTATGACACTATCTTAAGCAGCTGCTCGATGGCCTGTGTAGCATTATCACTTAAGATGAAAGTGATTTCTCAGAGAAAACAATTTTTGAAAATTTTGTTAACTCACTAGATAACTTTGACCCACACGACGAAGACTTCACGATGCCTCTTTAGGCATTGAGCTTCTTGTAATTTTTTCGACTGAGGAATCCTGTTATGCCAGATTTTTCTTTAAATTAATTATAGGAGAAATGGATCTAATGTTGGTCTATGGATAAGATTGGGCCCATCGCTAAAAATCTGCTATTTATCAATTTTATCTAGATGAACGCGTCATTGGGACGGTACTAATGGATATTTTTGGTCGCTATTGAAAATTTAGTCGATTGCTGAATTTATGTATGGGCCCAAATTAGGAGCATTTAGGCCGACATTACATCAATTTCCCCTACGCTCTACAAAATGCGACTAATAGAAACGCAGACGCTGCTTAGATTGACGACAATACGTAAATTCCTCTATCTTATAATTTAATAATTCCGAAAAAATGTATTTTATGCAAGCTTGAATGTGACTAAAATCCCCCTCGGCAGGTTATCATCTTTTCGCCGATCTACTTCTTCGGCGTTATCCTGATCGACAACGTCGAGCTGCAGCTGATCTGCCCATCGGCAATGCTGTTCGGTTTCAACCTCATCCACCGGGCGCTGTTCATACGCCATAACCTGAACAACACCCGTTCCATGCTGGTGGGCATTGGCTTGCTGTGCGTTGGAATCTCAACCAGTGGCCTCGTGGCGATGTACAGCGATGATCGCGGAACCTACCAGACGATCGTACTGCTGTACAGCTTAGTCGGAGGTCAGTAACAGTATCTTTGAAAATCCTAACGCCGTTTACAAATTCACACATTTTTCTCAGGTTATGGTTATCACTTGGTGTTTTCAAAAATGTGGAAAGTCCTAGCGAAGATCTTCAACGCCAAGAAGGAAATGTTTGTCATTAAATTCCTCCACTCGTTCGGTCAATCCATGACCCCGCTGTTCCTGTTGGTCATATTCTACTGCCCGTGGAAGGACTATATCTACGGTGCACTGCTGGTGTTGCTCGGCGGAATTCTACTCAATCTCGTTCCCATCACCATCCTGATAGAGAACGAGAAGAACTTCCTGAAGCTTGACCTAGATTCGTTCATAAAAATCACTGAAAAAGGAAACGAATCCTTCTACAACGATGTGGCCAAGAACTTTACCGGAACGGAAGCCGTTTTCCCGGCACAAACACCACCCGAAGTGGAGCAGATGCCGATGATGAGTTGGAAGAATCCAGCAAATTACTGCCGCGATGAAGAGTTGGAGATACCTGTAATTCTGGAGGGCGACTGCGAAGACGATCTATTGAACCGGGAGGGGAAGTGCTACAATCACGATGGGGTAGAGATACTGGAAATAATCATCGAAGAAGACGAGGACAATGCCTCGGAGATTGCAGACGTAGCCGTGAACGTGCAACCTGTCAAGGAAGCTGATAAGACTAAGTGGCTTACATTAAGCCAGATATTCATATCAATTGCTAGACTATATCACAGCATCCAGGTGCGACAGAACTTCAACACCAGGATCGGGAAATCGCTCCGCTTCTCGATCAGAGAGCTCAGATTCTACAGCTGTTTGTTTCTGAAATCCACTGACGTATGCATTTTCGTACTTTTCCTAACGGTGCTGCCAAGGTTTATGTCCCACCATTACTATTATCGGGGAAAGCCGCGGCAAATGCTGCTATTATCGTTGGTCATTATCTCCTCTTCGTGGGCGACGTTTTCGCTGTTGCTACTTTGGTGTGACATCAAGCTCCGCAAGCAGCAAGATAAGCTACTCATATTTAGCATTCTCTTCAAAGCGTTCGGCTACTTTTGCGTCTATTCGACCAAGTCCAGCTTTTGGACCGTGTCCGGATGTATTCTGATAGGCGTAGGTCACGCCATCACCTGCTTCTATCAGGATCTGGTGATTAAGCGGAAGTTCAGCGCTCGCCAGTGGAGTCTGGTGAAGGGAGCCCTCTGTCTGCTGAGCGGACTGTTAGTGATAGCAATAGCTAGCTTAACCAATGTAGCGTTCATCTACTGTAGGATAGATAACGTACTGCTGACCCTGCTGTTGGTTTACTGCTTCAGTGGGAGCGTGTGGTTGGTGTTTAATTTTAGGATAATTTTCCGGTAGGTTTTAATAAACGATGCGAACGTTTGTGTAAACAGAAAATTTCTGGGGTTTTTGACATCCGAAATTGTTTCCTTCGTTGGAATATTGTGCAGAAGTGGCACTCGGATGGTGAAGTAATGATATCGGAACCATATAGAATTTCATTGTCTGTTAACTGGATAACTGTTCCACGGTCCATAAGGACTGCATAGAATATGGGACAGCTATGCGTATAACGGTATAATACCTGCAGATAAATAAGCATCAGCAGTGTTCAGTGCTTTTCGTAGCTTCAGCTCTTCAAGAAAACGATAAAATTATTCCAATTATTTAAAATCCTCCGCCAAATCGTAGTGCTGCGCTATTTACCGAGAACGTTGACTGGAAGCACGGGAAGCACCTACGAACATTTAAACCTTATTTAGATGATTCAATGCAGTTCAACCTATAGTCACTAAACCAGTTGACAGCCAAGCACCGTGCGAGATAGACGTATTGCTTTTATGTATCATCTACGGTGTCGTGTTACAATCGGATGGTCTCCTCTGAGGATGAATAATGTTGATGTATGAAAACATGAAGTTCAACATTACAGACACAATAGACATTCAGTTCCATAATGTTCGGAAGCATGTTTATGTCGAGATGGTAGATGAAGCAACAGCCAAGCTCTACTATAAGTCTCATATTCTACAGCAGGAGTACAAAATTCCTATGTAAGTACACTGAGCCAACTTCCACATTCAATGTTATATGGTAGGCATATAATTTTGCACTATTGGAATTTCTTATGAAATTTATCTTAGAATGAAAATGCTGGTTATGATTTATATGCAATGCATATTATATGACTCTCAAGTAGTCATGTTATTATTGTGTGCAATAGATTTCATTTTAACAAACGGTGAGAGTATATGGAAATAATTAACTTATACATTATAAATCAATATTGCTCGTTAAACAAAATACATTCAAAATAAATTTGATCTATATGCAGTTCACATGCTTTTTATTAATACTTCAAATAACCATAGTACAGTGCCAATATTCAATATAATGGAAATTTGCTACAAATATTTGGTTTAAAATATATTGACATGTTTATTAAGCTAAATATACATTACTATTTTTTTTAACTAGTTCGTTTATTTACTAGGCTCAGTCGTGTGTGACACTTTGCAGAGCCAAAATCAGTAATGTTTGATTTACATTTTAAATAGCAGTATTTCTAGGTTAGTATTGGGTACCAATTACTCGTGGCGGGCTCGAGGTTAATGGGTAACAATTTCGATTGGAAGGATCTAGGTAGGAAACTGGTTTCTGAAGCCTTCTTCAGATACTACTCTCGGACTGGGCAGGGGCAAGTAGCACAGGAACAGGAGGATAATAAGACTGGGACACAATGCCTGGAAATTGTTTGGAAAGGAGGGGATAGTCACATCAAACTCTAACATCAGACAAACAAAGGAATTCGTAGATCGCTTGCATGTAGGGAAGATCACGTGTTCCCAATACATCTCTTACTTCACGGAAGGGTTGTCTACCTCGGGCCACTAGGGTATCCAATAGTCGTGCTCTGGAGGCGTCATTACCCGGGCAATACCAAACTGCGTGATCGATGTCATCATAACCGGTTCTGCACCTACATATATTGCTGTCAACGAGGTTTATTCTATAGAGATGTGCGTCTAGCGAGTAGTGGTTGGACATAAGTCTTGACATCACTCGAATGAATCCCCGACTTATATCCAGACCTTTGAACCACGCTCTAGAAGAAACATTTGGAATAAGCAAACTTATCTGCTCCCTTACCTTTGAAAGGAAATAAGATGAGTGCCGACCTTGTTTCATCGACCGAATAGCCTCAATCGAACTGAGACTATCCGAGAAGATGAAGTAATGGTCTATGGGCATATCGGAAATCATCCCCAATGCGAAGTTGATTGCTGCTAGCTCAGCAACATAAACGGAACAAGGTTCCTGAAGTTTCCGAAAGGCGGTTGAGTATTCATTGAAGACACCGAAGCCAGTGGATCCATCAGTGAACAATCTTCTACTGCAATTGACTTGTTGGTACTTTTCAGTCAGCAAAAATGCGGGGAATTGAGATAGGTCGAAGTTGATCTGGAACTCCTTGAATAGCCTGTTTCATGGAGAGCTCATAGTCAATGGGGGAACTGTAGTAGTAAAGCATACAAGAGAGGGGTTATAGCAAGGAAGGCTAATATCCGATGACATATAATTAAGATAGATTCGCACGAATCTAGACTGGATGCTCAATTCGAGCATTTCTTCGAAGTTTTCAATCACAAGGTTGTTACTGACAATCAATCAATATTCTTAATGAGAGCTCCCAGAAACGGTTCTGCAGGGGTTTTACTCCCGCTAGAACCTCTAGGCTCATATTGTGTTTTGAATGCATACAGCCAAGGGCAATACGTAAACAACGATATTGAATACATTCCAATTTGATTAGGTGGCTTTTTCTTGCCGAGAGGAAGCAAAAAGAGCCATACTCAAGAACTGAAAGAATAGTCGTTTTATATAGTTTAATGAGGTCTTCCGGGTGAGCACCCCACCATGTCCCGGAAATTGATCGTATATCGATATCAATCTGAAAGTTTGAACAGCAATTTATTGATAATAGGGTAGAGCGCTACTTCGTCGGGGGAGGTAGCTCATCGATTCTTCCGGTTCGCCTCCTAGCTTCGTGCTATAAGGTACCAGGCGATAACCAGGGTAGTTGATCGATAGCTCGATGACGTCATTTCGTTGGCGTCTGCAATGGGAAATTCTCATAGCAGGCGTTGACGATGGGACGTTGTCGAGTTGTTGAATAGCAACTATCGTGGTAACTCACCGATTACCTGTCGATCTGCCAAATTTGGAAAGACGTCTGCATTGAATTGTCTCAGATTATAATATTCCGCCCCTATATCACAAGAAATTGCGAGTAGCTGAGTGGAATGGAGATAAGTTAAGCATTGGGTACAGGACCAAGTCTCCCCTGGGTGGTGCCAGAAGATGAGCGCAATAGAATCATCAAGTTGCCATAAGGCACGGAATGAGACTATTGCATGGCTGGGTAGTCAAAGTCTTCCATTCGTTAGTCATTTCAGGTGGATTAGAACAAGTTTAGGTTTAGGGTGGGCGTTGGCCAGATTTGGATTTTTCAGATATATAGACCTAGATTATTTAATACACTAGTAACCTCAACCTTTGTCACAATGTTTCATTGTTATTAATCAACACTCAATGGGTAAAATATCAAATTTGCGGTAAATTTGAAAAAAAAAGGTAACTTGGAATGTAGAGCGGGTAGTGGACGATTCTGAAGCCTGGCCATGTGAGTGGGTTACGGGTTTATTTGATTGTACGTCATTTCCAAGTCATATATAGATACATTCATACTATTGGCATTTTGTATTTGAGATAAGACAGAGACAGGATGCGGAGGGCCCGCTTAGGGGGAGCGTAACCCATGTTATGGCTTCCATTTATTAAATAGTTCAGATAGGCTGGAAATGATAGGTTCATGGTGAGAAAATGTACCATATGGTGCCTGTTCACTGATCAAAATTAGATTCAAATCGTCTGGCCCTGCCCTGGAATAAGGGGATTGACGATTATTTGTCAAGTTTCATTTTGCATTTGCATATAATTGTAAGTTTAGGTTTGCTTTTGTAATAGATAGATAGATAGTTTGCCTCAATTGAAACATTGAGTTGTATAAACTTGACGAATCATACCTCTAAAATAGTAGTAGTTACAGTGCCGCATGATCTAACAACCACTGCCTGCAACTAATGTTGAAGGGGCCGGCAGGGCTGATTATGGATCAAAACTAACATAACTCTAACACTGAAATGATCCCGAAACCAACGCTCATTCATTGCACTTTGAGTCATAAAGTAGTTTTATTTATTTTCCTACTAATCTATCTACACACTTAATTTTTTCTACCGAGCTCGGCTGTGCGGGTCTCGGCGGGGAGCAGTGTTAGATTTTTAACAATATCTCAACAATGTGTGGCTCTTTATCAAATTCAACGAAACTTATGGAAAGGGGAATAAATTTAGAAGTCATCTTTGATAGAAAAATTTAATTTATTGATAAAACCCGTTCAAGAAAGAGAAGTAAAGTGTGGGTTGTCCTTAGTAAGACGGAAATTAGATCAAAAACCCTATGCATAGTTTTTTATCGAGAATGTTGGAATATGTGCAAACAAAACTATAACAAAATCATATTGCGCATTTCCAATCAAACTGCGCAAATAAGCATGTTTTACCTTGTTAAAAAGTGTGATAAAAGTGCAAGTTCCCTTCTAATCTTTTTGTTGTTTTCGGTGCACTTTTTTCTTATAACGCACACTAAAGCAATTTGAAGAAAACGTGCACTTTAATCACATTACTTCTTCTTCTTCTTCGCATTTCAAGCTTATTGCATATCACATATTAGCTTATTGCGTGCTCTCAACTTAGTGTTCTAGATGCACTTCCACAGTTATTAATTGAGAGCTTTCGATGCCTGTACCATTTTTGCATTGGTATAATTGTGTGTTAAGTCCAATCATACTTCTATGCCCAGGGAAGTCGAGAGATTTTCCAACCCGAAAAATTCCTAGACCGGACCGGGAACCGAACCCAGCCACCTCCAGCATGGTCTTGCTTTGTAGCTGCGCCTTTACCGACTGAGCTAAGGGAGGCCCCATCACATTAATAATTTCATATTTCTAGTATGTTAAATAAATGATACTCACTAGTTGGTATCCAAATTCACTTTGAACGTGCTTCCAAATTTGATTCTTCCACAATTTTTCCTCTGCTGTTGATTTTCCCAAGAATTGAATGCGTGATGCGAAGCTTTCCTTCCATTTATCAAGAATTGTAGCCCATGGTCCATCGTTAAGCATCAACCAGTTCATGGACAATACAGATGCTGTGTTGTTTTTCGTGCCATCGGTTCCTGGCCGAATTCGCTTGGCATACTCCTCTTCTGATTTGTCACGTTTACGGGATTTGGTTCTCAAATTACAAATCTTGTTGTTAATAATACCTTCTGGATTCCTTTTGGTGCCGCCTTTTTCCAAATAGTATGTTTCCTATAAACCGTAACAAAAAGCTTAAAATGTATAAATATTTCAAACGGTAGCACCTCCCAAATAAAATAAAAACTTTCTTTATAGGTTCTATACGCGTTGCTATTACCTTATTTTCCGATTTGAATACTGGCGATACTGTTAAAGCATACTCCTCAAGGTCTTCTTGCAACAGTCTTGTTCTGTTCGCCAAGTGCCATTCGGCGATAATACCCGCCAACTCGTATTGTCTTCCAGTCGACAACTAACCGATTTCAGATCGACGCCCAATGTCCTTACCCAGTTCTGAAGAATTTAGCAAGTGCAGTAAAGTTGCCGGGCTGAACAATTTTCGTCCAGCAGAATTGTCGTTCACAACTTCCACACTACTTCCAGTATTGAGACCGCTACAACCGGCAGTATCTTGATTACTCAAACGCTGTCGAAAAAGAAAAAAAAATACTGTTAGTCATAAATACAATGCAAAGGTTTCTAATAATTAATTAACATTGTTTTACCTGTTTAGTATTTGTAATGTCCTTTAGACATACGAATCCACCTGTAGCACTGCTCGACAGGGTACATGGTGAATCGTGGGGATGATGATTAATGTTTGTGTTTGCTGGGGTTCTTTCTTCAATTGTTTCCTGGCTGCTGCGATTTTGAGTAGACCTGAGCGTAACCTCTTCTGCCACAGGAATCTGTTCCGGCTCTTGATTTGAATCGTTTTCTACCTTCACTTCGCTTTCCGAAACTATCCACGGTGATAGGGAAGCCAGATTATTTTCACAGCCCAGAAAGTTCTGTAGTTCCACTTGCTGCAAGGAAAGTAAATCTGTTGAAAAATAATTTTTGCAACATTACAGATAAAGGTTTACGTTTCTCTGTCGCCACTGCACTACGGTCAACAATCAGTTCGAAACTAACGATTTTAAATTGGCTCACTGCTTGACTAGCCTATTGGTCCCAAGCAAACGATTAACGTATTCCATTCTAGTATAAATTCCAGTACTACACTATGTTTGTTATGATTTGCTATGAAAGTTTGACAGATAAAATGAGGGGTTCATGGATTTTCCTATGTTTCGAGGGGTGAATCGATTAGCTTGGGACCGAAGATAGTACCAGAGCGGAGCCAAAAAGTTGAACACGTATCTTCTGGATCTTCTGATCTTAGAGTTACCTCTATGCTACGGTGTTGAAGATTTTCTGTGTGTTCCAAACGAATCCGTCGCTCAAATTGGTGGACTGCAAAACTTCTTCAAGTGTTCCATAGTCTATGGTGGATAGCTCTTGAATACCAATGTTACGTTCTATCAAAAGAAAACAGCTTTTTAATCAGTCAGTTGTAATTAATTTAAATACTGTACTTACCACCGAGAAGATCGAAAAAAACTAAGCGGAAATCCCGAGTCCAACAACAAACGCTCTCGTTCATCAGCCATTTTCACTCTTTTATCCACTGCTAAAATGATACAGTCGATATGTCATACACGCAAAAATCCATAATGAAATTGGGTCTGCCAAAGTTATGTGCAAAGCATGTGAATCGCACATGGTACATGCATATAACTTCTACGCGAACGAATGCCTTTAATGTTTATGGATTGCTAATAAATTTGAACTGCTTTACGCTTGATACGTATAGGGATTCATTTGGAATAAAAGTGCCAGACTTGGAGTTGAATATATATGATATTTCTGATAAAATTACCATACTGATTTATTTGAGTATAGAAGATGAAGCCGAGGGGAGCGACACATCTAAATCTCAATTCTAGATACTCGAAAAATCTTTTTTAATTTCTCGCATCTACTTGTATCGCGCATCATTGTTTTGCAGGAAATCTTTAGAATCGTCATCAATCTTTTTTCTATTTACTCAATGTTTGTTTTGATTCGCTATGAAAGTTTGACAGATAAAATGAGGGGTTAGTGGGTTTTCCTATGTTTCGAGGCGTGAATCAATTAGCTTTGGACCGAAGATAGTACCAGAGCTGAGCCAATAAGTTGAACACGTTTCTTCGGGACCAACTAGTCTTAGAGTTACATCTATGGCAGTAGCATCAAGGAGGAACAGATGCTAATAAATGTAAAGATGTCTTGCAAGAAACCCAAGACAAACGTAACCGAAAAGCAGGGTTCCTTCCATTCATTTTGGCTAAAAAAAATGTTTTATAAAATTATGGAATAATAAGATATTATAATAATATTTTGTTTGTGTAAACAACAAGAAAAGATTGTGGAGTTTGTGTTTGACACATAATACCAGCCAATGTTGCTGCATGAGAGTCGCAATAAGCGATTTTGTCATCTATCTCACCCACTCTTCACTCTTCACTCTTCGCGAAGAGGCGATCAGAAAATTGTTCATTGTGGCTCTGTCAAAGCTAAATTTGCAGGTTTTATGTGTCAAACACAAACTTTAAAAATTTGTCTTGTTCCGTACACATACAAAATACCATCATAATATCGTATTATTCCATAATTTCCTAAAACATTTTTTTAGTCAAAGTGAATGGAAGGCACCCTGCCGAAAAGTTTCTGATTGTAAATCCTACACAGAAAAAAAAAAGATGTTGAATATTACATCCGAACTGCTGCAACCAGGTCAATCCATCGGTTGTGTAATATAACGTTTTACGATGTACATCGATTTTGCGAACAAAATTACATCCATTGATGTAATATTGTATCTGGTTTTTGCTATTACATAATTATTTCATACATCAGCTTGAATTACATTGATCGATATTACATTTTTTTTGCTGTGTAAGTTCTCCCCAGCAACCACTGAATCACGACCTTACTAATTAATTGCAAATTCAACCCATTGCTTGGTCCTTCTTCCTGGGTGGCCAATTTGTCCTTCTTCCAAGTGCCAATTTGTCTGCCTCGTGCAGCGGGAGGGCCAATGTCCGTGTCAAGGACTAATCTTCGGACAAGTTACCCTGAACGGTAGCTGCACGCTGAATAATATACGATCTCTACAATTGCGAAACGGTTATGGAACTCTACTACTGCTGTTGACGCAACAAGTCAGTGTTATCAACAATCAATACGAAACTAACGATTTTAAATTGGCTCACCACTTTAGTAGCCTATTGGTCCCAAGCAAACGATTAACGTACCCTATTCTAGTCGAAATTCTAGTACTACGCAATGTTTGTTTTGATTCGCTATGAAAGTTTGACAGATAAAATGAGGGGTTATTGGTTTTTCCTATGTTTCGAGGGGTGAATCGATTAGCTTGGGACCGAAGAGAATACCAGAATTGAGCCAAAAATTTGAGCACGTTATATCGGGACCTTCTTGTCTTAGAGTTACCTCTATGGTGTTATAGCTGGCGGCAAGTTCCAGCCCATAAAAGCATAACAGTCACATCAACCACTCGGGTTTTTTTTTTCAGCTACCATCGGAATGTAATTTGTGATTAGCCCCGACTCATTATTTTTGAACGGCCCTTATATTTGAAATTACGTTCTAAGTTTATAGGGATGTTTGATTTTCATTCGAATAATCGATTAACGAACGTTGTTAATCGAGTAACTAAAAAATGGGACATAATTAATTTTGGTGTGATAGTTTTGATAAAAAATGCGCTACCGAGGGGGCAGCATAACCACAAAACATCTTGCATTGGATGAAAGGGACCATGAAAGAGGACACTTAAACAGAAACTTTTTTCTTCCGACAGTTTCATCTTAGTATTCTTATTTGGTCACATCTTTGCTTGATTTCCTATTTGGGGTCACAATTTACCCGTATTATAAAGCGCTAAGCATAATGAAAACGTTGCTTTTGCGTTTATATACCTGTTAACCCATGGGTTATCTGTCAATTTTACGTTAACGCAACGCAAACGTATTCATTGGGCGTGATCTTGAGTTTGTCGTCGCTTTGTCAGGTTTATTCCAAATCTGGTTAATTTATGTCAGCAATGTGGAAAAACTGATTTAGCGTGTATTTTACCGCAATGTCGCAGCAAAGTCTGGCAACGCTGTTCGTAGAGTCTGACATTTTCCCTTCTTCGCAATCGTCATCATGTCATCATCAGCATCATCGTCGTCATAAAGCAGATACATCAAAACAAAAACCAAAACAATCTTCCACCGACTGCTTGCTTCTGCAAAGCTTCTCGTTACCAGACGAAATAGTGCTGCATTTTTCGCGATGGAAATGTAAGTAAATGCTATCAGTTTCAATTTCAATCAGGAAATTCAGAAAATAATTCCACCGCTTCTTTCAGCGTCAACCCGAATGCGGCAATCCTAACCAACTTCGAGGTTATGGCGACCTTGAAAAACATGAAAAGTAGCAAGAAAAAGTACGGCCTGCGGAATCTGGCCACCATTACCTACGAAACGGTGCAGTTCCTCGAGGACACCGCCTGTAAGGAGCAAACCTCAGAGTTGGTTGTAGAATTTCTGAAAGCCATGAAGCAGTTCAATCTCACCAAGAACGAATGCTTGATGATGATCAATGATCCGCCCGTTTCTGCGCTGCACATTCAGATTATGATCGAAGATTCGGACGAGCGACTAACGGATGAGCAGGTTAATTTTATCATTGAATGCGCAGCCAAGCTACGAACAGGGATGGGTCAGCAGCAGGAAGGACAAGAATAATCGCTTCGGAGTTGTGTGCTGTGTTCCATTGTTTCTTATATTAAGAAATATGTATACATATTAAAATATTTTATTACATGTAGAACGTTATTTGCGAGAAAAAGGAACTCCTGCAGTTTATCGCTTCTGATCGCCAAGATCTTCGATAAAATCCTCGTCGATTTCTGGCCACTTCTCGGGAATCACATCGAACAGATCATCCTTAATGTCGCCTTGGATTACAATCTCGTCATCCCCAGTCACCGATGAACCGCAGGCAAACTTGGTTCCGAAAAATTTAGCTGCCACCTTAAGATCAACATCGAACGTGGCCATTCCTGTGACCACCGTAACTGACTTCTTCTTGCCTCTTGCTGATCGGGAAACGCATATCTTCTTTGGTCCATCGTCCTTGACTTTTTTGGTCTTCATCATACCCTTGCCGCCACGTTTCTGTCGCTTCTTGTCCTCCTCACCACCGGCAGCTGCACCATCTTCACCGCCTCCGGCTGCTCCCTCTCCGGAGCCACCGGTGGCACTTGCAGTCGTTCTGGTTCCTCCCGTTACCGAAGAACCCGTTCGCATCCTATCGAACTCTGCCGGGAGGTTCTTCTCCAGCCATTGTTTGCACTTTTCGTACTCAGGATAGTATTCGCAGTACTCCAAGGGCATCGAGCAGTTACCGCAGTACTGGACCGACAGGGGATAGTTGCAGCCCTCCTTCGGACCGATTTGCAGCTTGGCAGGAATTTCGCTGACCATTCTGGAAGGAAGCGAGGAAATAAGTTTGGCTCGGGTAGAGAAGTGATTTATTACTTACATATTTCAGTGAAAATTACTAGGGAAACTAGATAGATTGTAGATTGTGTTCTTTGGGCGAGATCGCAGCTTGAACGTGAAAACACAAAACGAGACTCAAAAACTGCGAAAACTGATGATCGATGTGACATTTATGTCAAATTTATGGATAGTGTACCAAAATCCCACTTCCAACCGGTCAACACTGGGAAACGGGGGCAACGGAGGACATCTATCAGAAAGTAGCTGAAACTTCTTCCAGGGTTGTATCACAGAGAACAGACGTCCAACTAGCATCTCCTGACTTCCTCCACACATGTGGTTTCACGTACAAGCTAAGTGAAATCTCAGTATTGGCAAATCAAAGTTGGCACTCGTGGAGAATAGACGAACTAAGGCTCTGAACCATTTGGTGGATTATTTTAACTTTTGGTTAAAATTTGACAGATGAAAAGTTATCGATTAACCCTGCTATCCGAGCGTGGTTACTTCTGACAGACAAGAAGTTAAATTTTGACAACTGTGGCTGAGTTCTTCTTGAAAACCGGTCGATCGACAGCACAGGGATATTCGAACATAGGAAATAACTTTCGAAATGTCACTTTTAACCATGAATTAAATTTAACTCGGCAAATGGTTCACAGCCTAAGAAAGTGATGATGGTTTTAAATTTTTCCACGGAGAGCTATACGTGTGCAATCTTAAAATGCTTTTATTTTGAAAATGGAGCATTGTATTTAAATCTGGTTGTTGCTACACTTGTAGAAAAACTAAAATCTATGCATACACCTAAAAATCTGAAAAGAAATTATTTTTCCTATATTATATATCTAATGAGTAGTCCTTAAGTTTTCTACTAACGTAGCTTTTGAAGGAGCAGAGCACTACCGGAAACCTCGGAAAAGGAACGAATTTCGGAAAAACGATTAAACACACGTAAACTACGAGAAAAGAAAAAAAGCTACTATTTTATTTGCGTCTTTTACTACAGAACTAGAACGCTAACTGAACAAAAAAAAACTTCCAACTGTCAACCAAAAGCAAATTTCAAGGTGTACCAATATAGGTTGTCTCTGTTGTCTGCATGTAGGGGTAGGACGCTAGTGGTCATTCTACTCCCACACTCCTCCTGAATGACCACCGACTTCACCTAAGTCGATAGTCCGATCCGTTCAATGAATTTGTTGAACATCAGTCGTCCCAACGGCTTTGTTAAAGCATCAGCAATCATCTCACTTGAAGGACAATACTCCAAAACTATAATCTTCCGTTCGCATAAGTCACGAATGAAATGCTTCTTCGTGTCTATGTGCTTTACCCTTCCGCTCGATCGTTCGGCCTTCGCAAAGCATATGCACCCCTGGTTGTCCTCGAAGATGGTAATCGCATCGGCCTGAGGTTCGTCGAGGTCATTCATCAATCGCTTGATCCAGATTGCTTCTTGACACGCCACGGTGAGTGCGTAATACTCTGCTTCCAACGACGAGAGTGCGACCGCATCCTGTCCTTTGCTCACCCAGCATATCGGCCCACCACCGTAGAAAAATATCACACCAGTAGTAGACCGCCTTGTTCGCTGATCTCCGGCCCAATCGGAGTCCGAAAATCCGATCAACTTCCATTCCTGTCCAGGTCCGTATGTCAGCTTCCGATCCTTCGTTGCATTCAAATATTGCACGATCCGCTTAGCTGCAGACCAGTCGCTTTGATTTGGCTCAGCTACCTTTCGTCCAAGCAATCCCACGCTAACAGATATATCCGGCCTCGCATTGACAGCCAAGTATAAAAGAGCTCCAACAACACTTCGATACGAGGTCTGATCCGAAAATTGCTTGCTATCATGGTTCGCAGATAAATACCCTGGATCCATAGGTGTTTTTACTGGTGGTGCCTTATCCATACCCAGCTGGCTCACCAACTTGTCAATATACGCCGTAAGCCGCAAAGAGTAGATTCTGTCCTCTTTCTGAATATCCAGTCCCAAAAAATGTCGAACAGGGCCGAGACAGGTAAGCTCGAACTCTTCCTTCAAATCTTCAGCCACTTTATTGATCTCTGCTTCATTCACACTTCCGAGTAGGAGGTCGTCTACGTATACTAGCAAGTATACCGTAACGCCTTGAACGTGCCGTACGTAGAGACACGAATCTGATGTACATTGCTGAAATTTCAGCTTCTTCGTCAACACAGCGTGGAGCACTTTATTCCAACAACGTGCCGATTGACGCAAACCGTAAATGCTTTTTACCAATTTACACACCATCTCCTCCTGTCCAGTTACGGTGAAACCGGGGGGTTGCGCATAAACAATTCTTCCTCAACTGTTCCATTTAAGTACGCCGTTTTAACGTCGTATTGTTTCAGTACTAGTCCCTTCTTGCCCGCAACAGCCAGCAACGCACGCAACGTAGTTATACGCGTTACTGGGGCAAAAATATCCGTATAGTCAATACCAAACTTTTGCGAGTAGCCCCGCGCAACAATTCTCGCTTTATGTTTGACTACTCTTCCATTTTCATCGCGCTTGAGTTTAAACACCCACTTCGCACTAATCACTTTCTTTCCGGTGGCAATCTCACAAGTTCCCACGTTTGGTTTTGTTCGTGAGCCTTAAGTTCATCCTTCATCGCACTTCACCACTCTGGCAAGGCCATCGCCTCCCGGTAGTCTTCGGGTTCTTCGTCGTGAGATGCCAACGCAACGACAAAATCGTCATATCTTCTTGGAAGAACACCTCGCGTAGAGCGCGGTGCCCTTCTCTGCACTTGTCCGGATTCGTGAATACTTTCATCACCGTAACCGAAGAAATCACTCTCGTTTGTATCATCAGCGTCCTCGTAAACTGATTCATCTTCTTCTTGCTCTTCAGGCTCTTCAACTGCCTCATCACTCTGGTTCCAAACCAGGATCACTTCACTTTCATCTTCTTCACGCATTTCCGCTGGAACTTGTTGGTCCTCCTGAACTGCATCTTCCCGCTCCGAGCCGTTATCAAGCTCGAGGAACCGCGCGTCGCGGCTGATGACGATCCGATCACTCTCACGATCCAGGAATCTCCAACCCTTGTGCTGATCCGAGTAGCCGACGAACAATAGCTTCTTTGCTTTGGGATCAAATTTCTTACGCTTGCATTCCGGGACATGGACATAAGCGGAGCACCCGAAAGCACGAAGACGGGTCAGATCCGGCTTCGTCCCAGTCCACATCTCGTACGGAGTACGATCTACAGCACGAGTAGGCAGCCGGTTCTGAATATAAGCTGCTGTTAATACTGCCTCTCCCCAGTAACATTTTGGCAGGCCTGCATCGAGCAACATGCAGTTAGCCATTTCTTGAAGCGCTCGGTTCTTGCGTTCCGCTACCCCATTTTGTTGTGGGGAGTAGGGAACCGTGAACTGCGCGTCGATACCTTCAGCCTTATAAAACTCCTGCAAATTGTTACTAGTATACTCACCTCCGCCATCGGATCTAATGATGCGGGGCTTCCGTCCGAATCCATTCTCCGTCCAGCGCACGTACTCCTTTATCTTCCCTGCTGCCTCGTCCTTGGACTTCAGGAGAAAGACCACACAGAATCGACTGAAATCATCGATCATGGTCATCAGGTACTTGTTACCACTAGGTGTTTGATTATCCATGGGGCCACAAAGGTCCGTGTGGATCAGATCCAAAGGCTGCTTAGACTTGCGTTCAGTTACCGCTGGGAAAGGGAAACGAGTCAACTTCCCCTTCAGACAACATTCACAAACTATCTGCTCACCGCAACTCTTGACCTCCAGTCCACTTGCCAGATCTTTCGCCTTAATCGACTCTATGACATCCGCATCTCGATGACCAAACCTTCTATGTCAGGTGTGTTGGCACAACAAGGTATGGTTTCCACACACCGCACGCATACCCTGCTCGGCCGTTTTCAATTTGTACTGGTTGCCGACGGTTTCACCAACTGCCACTACAACGCCATCCGCAGATTTTACTTCGCAACGATCTACGCCGAACACCACTGAAAATCCTTTGAGTGCCAGCTTCCGGACCGAGATCAGTCCACCTTCTAGAGAAGGGAAGTACAGAACGTTCTCCAACGTGATGGCAATTCGGTTTCCATCTCCGTTTACACCGAACAACACTCCACTACCGCATCCAGCAGACATCGTTTTGGTTCCATCCGCCAGGGTCACATCAACAACGACACCTCTTTTCATTTCGTTGAAGAAAGTACGGTCGTTGGTCATATGACACGTACAACCGCTATCCACAGTCCATGCTCCGGGAATAACTCCTCCTGCGACGAAGCACACAGCTCCAAAAACAGCGCTGGGTTTCTCAGCATCCCGCTGCTCCGGCGCCGGTTGTGTTTGCACCTGCTTCGCTTGCTGGTCTGGACTATCCTTCTGACTTGACTGGCTTAGGCCTTGTTCCTTTTTCGCTGCTAGAGACTTCCTGCAATTCTTCTTCAGATGACCCGGCATATTGCAGAAAAAACACTTCCGAGTTTCACTTTTTGGCAGTGAAACGCTGATGCTGGGGCAGGTGATGCCGGTGGAGTTTCAACTTAATTGTTTTGGTTGTGGAATTGCTTTGGGGACAGCTGATGGAGTTGAAGGTTTCACCGGAAGTTTCATTGCTGGAATAATCTATATGTTTGGAGTAAGTTCTCGTGGACTCGCGGGAACACTCTTTTCCTTCTGTTTATGTTGCTGGCTGAGGTTGCGTGTTCGTCTGGAGTAAATTAACTCAGAGTACAGAGTACTTCCAAATTGTTTTAGTTGGAAGGTTGGAAGAATTTTGGAATTTGGTCTGTTGTTATGTCCTGTAACTCGAAAAATTCAATTTCACACCGTTCAAAATCTGTAAATCAGCTAACACCTCTTGCAGTATGTACTGCAGAGTGGCCATGTTTCTTATTTTTTCATACATGTAAAACACGTAGCATGTACGTGAAGGTCAAGCTGTCAAAAGAGTGCCTTCAACTTATGTGATTTTCACATAAATGTTATGGGATAAAAAAGTGGATATGAAATGTGTTCCTTATGAACATCAAATACTGATAACTAAATTCTACTTACGTCAGGTAAACTCACAAAAAAATATACGTATTGAGATCTACGTGATTTTTCACGTAGCATTAACGTGTAGAATTTTTTGAGTGTATGTTTTCAAGAAAAACATTTTCAATGAGTTACGTCTGTTTGTCTGTGGTGCTGGCATGGTATATCATCAGGGTATATCTAAACAGCGATGCATTTCGTGAATCTTCAGGGGTGGAGGGAAGTGTGAACATACCGTACCAAACGCTCCGAGCTAGGTTATGAGTGAATGTAACAGTAATATGCAATGTAATGAATGGTATATAAAATACAGTGGGCCTTATTACGAGTGTCACTTCACGGTGAAAACGAAGTGAAGTGACCAGTTGTCACTCACGGTGAAGTGATTGCCGTGTAAATCAAATGGGAATCACTTCACCGTGAGTGAGAAGTTGTCACTTCACCGTGAAGTGACATCGGTAATAAGGGCCAGTGTGATGGAAGGATCTCACCAAATGCCTCCAATGTTAACCAAATTCCCGATTTCCTTTTTTCCGTTTGTCAGCTGTAAGCTTCTCTCTGGCACTTAAAAGTCCCTCCTCGGCAACATGATCGCACTGAACGATGGGACGTTGGGGGTTTGGTGGCTTGACAGCGGTTCCAGGAACAAGCTGGCGGATATTGTAGGTCCTGCAGACCGTCGATGTACGTGCACTCGCGGTGTTCCGAATGGAAGATCTTCCGTTGCTGATGATTGGCCATTTGCGCCAGGAATTGAGCTGCTCGTGAAAATAACATCTTGAATGGCTTTGGTGGCGACCCAGAACCGGGCAATCGAATCCAGGTCCATATATCGTAGTTGTTGACCGGATCAGCACCCAAGTATAAATATAACACAGGTCATCACTGGAATTTCGAATCGGGGAAAATGTGCTCCAATTACGAGGCAAGCTATCACACATAAATTATTAATTTTAAATTTTTCCAAATTTTCAAACGCAACAAAGAAAACAAACGTCACGGCCGTACGGACGCACAGCCTACCACAAACGAAGTGACAGACGGAGCGGCTCGAAAACTTTGGTGACTAACCTGCTATTGCAATTTTTCAGTGTACCACATGGCAACACCACTACTACTGGATTGTACCACATGGCAACACTACTACTAGATTGAACTAGCATTTTCACCAAATGTACTAGAATGTTTTGGTTCTATCTCTTTCACTCTACTCAAAATTGAAATGCTTAAAAAAATGACAAAATGATACGCACTCTTTGCACACTGTCAAAGAATCATTGTACACAAAATCAACTTTGTTCAAATCAAAACAAAAAAACTAACCCATCTGGTGGATGATGGCACAAGCTTCCAAGAAAATTCTATTACAGTGAACCACATTATTTAAATGAATTTCTTCGCCAGTAAGTCGTCTGTCACTTCGTTTGTGCTAATACAATCGCATCCAGTACGAGAAAGCATCCTGGAAAATCATTAGGTTAGATAAGACCTAATCATTTTTCTTGTCAACATTGATGTTTGCAGCATATCTGAGATATTGACGATTCTGTGAAAGGATTCGAGTTCAAATAAACCGTGGAGGCACCAAATTCGAAGCAGTTTCTAAATCGACGCACTCCATAATGTTCGACTATTTTAAATAATTATATTTGAAATGTTACTTCTGCAAATATTAGTTTCAGTGCTCTAGGGGGATGTTGGTGTCCCAACAAACATTGGAAGTGGAATAAGAGCTTATTCAGACAAAAATATGCTTCTTGAGCTAAAAAATTGCTTATTCAGCCTTTAATCAGCAGGTAAATTTCTCCTCGGTTTAGCGTGACATAATTAATGCATGGGCCATTTCGTGAACCTTCAGGGGTGGAAGGAAGCGTGAACATACCGTACCAAACGTTCCGAGCTAGGTTATGAGTGAATGTAACAGTAATATGCAATGTAATGAATGGTATATAAAATACAGTGTAATGGAAGGATCTCACCAAATGCCTCCAATGTTAACCAAATTCCCGATTTCCATTTGACGTTTGTCAGCTGTAAGCTTCTCTCTGGCACTTGAAAGTCCTACCTCGGCAACATGATCCCACTGAACGATGGGACGTTGGGGGTTTGGTGGCTTGACAGCGGTTCCAGGAACAAGCTGGGGGATATTGTACACACTCAGCGACGATTTGCGTGTTCGGTAATTTTTTACCGGAAAAAAAACTGTAAATGCAGAATATTACAGATTTTTCGGTAAAAAAAATTAATTTTACCAATATTCGGTAAAGTTTAAACGAAGTTTCGGTAATCTGAATATTTAATTACCGAACACTGTAAAAAAAATACAATACGATCTGTAAAATGTGGTAAACGCCGAATTCGGTAAAAAATTACCGAACACACTGTAAATCACAAACGAAGTGACAGACGACTAACTGGCGAAGAAATCCATTAAAATAATGTGGTTCACTGTAATAGAATTTTCTTGGAAGCTTGTGCCATCATCCACCAGATGGGTTAGTTTTTTTGTTTTGATTTGTACAAAGTTGATTTTGTGTACAACGATTCTTTGACAGTGTGCAAAGAGTGTATCATTTTGCCATTTTTTTATGCATTTCAGTTTTGAGTAGAGTGAAAGAGATAGAACCAAAACATTATAATACGTTTGGTGAAAATGCTAGTACAATCCAGTAGTAGTGTTGCCATGTGGTACAATCTAGTAGTAGTGGTGTTGCCATGTGGTACACTGAAAAATTGAAATAGCAGGTTAGTCACCAAAGTTTTCGAGCCGCTCCGTCTGTCACTTCGTTTGTGCTGTAAATGCCAAATCCGTTTACCGAACTTCGGTACATTCAGACTGTCAAATCATGGGACGGCTTTTTTTTACACATAACCGCAAGCTGAGAGAAGTGAGACCAGTGAAAGTTGTGTAATTTTTATCATGGAACAGGTATGGAAGCAAATTCAAGACCAGGATGAACGCATCACTGAAATTTTTGGAAGACTCGAACGATTGACCACTTTGTCAAGCAGTTTTAGCGTGACTTTCTACCAGCTATTTCACAAAACTGGACCAAATAATTTCTATTTTTTTATGAAACGCACAAATGTTGGCTACTATTCTCGAGATACTAGAAGAAAAAATCTCAAAATAATGTTTTATTTCAAAGTTCGAGTGGTAGTAAACGTCATTTTAAGTGCTCGAATAAAGTGGTTAATTGCGCAATATGCTAGAAAAATCTGGCGATTCTAATTGGACGTGGAATGAGGGAAGCGTTTGAAATGTTGATCCAATCGTTCTTCGTTTTTGATACTGTACCGGCACCGTCAGACAAACAAATCTTCCTATTTTTCGGACCGTCGATGTACGTGCACTCGTGGTGTTCCGAATGGAAGATCTTCCGTTGCTGATGATTGGCCATTTGCGCCAGGAATTGAGCTGCTCGTGAAAATAACATCTTGAATCTCGGCTTTGGTGGCGACCCAGAACCGGGCAATCGAATCCAGGTCCATATATCCACAGAGAACAGACGTTCAAGCTCGGTCAGAAACTTGTGTAAAATAATTGGGAATGTCGCCGTTACGTGGTGTTAGCATCTCCTGATTTTCTCTCTAAATTTTCCACTTTCGACCAATTTGGCGCTAGTATCGATAAATTTTCTGTTGAAAATTGCCACTTGGCGCTACTAGCACTTAGTGTCTAGTGTAATTTGTGCAAAAACAGCGCCATCATGTTATCAAAGAGGATTTTTAAGTGGGGAAGTCGCCGTTAATGGCGCAGAAGTCAAATAGGAATCCTTACACAAGTTTTTAGAGAAATTTTGTTCCAGCCTCCATGTCTGTTCTCTGTGATATATCGTAGTTGTTGACCGGATCAGCACCCAAGTATAAATATAACACAGGTCGTCACTGGAATTTCGAATCGGGGAAAATGTGCTCCAATTACGAGGCAAGCTATCACACATAAATTATTAATTTTAACTTTTTCCAAATTTTCAAACGCGACAAACAAAACAAACGTCACGGCCGTACGGACACACAGCCTACTCTCGTGTTAAATGTAAACTACTATATGCGATTTACTCAAATACGGCTTATCCGGGAGTTGAGGGTAAAGTACTTAATGTTGGGTACTTTTTCATCTCCGTGTAGCCATCGCCATCTATTTCGTGGTGGAGGAAATTTCCTCTACCAACAAGTGATTTTTGTATCGACGATGAATTGCTGTTCATGGCTATTCAATATGGTAATGTAAACAATCGAATTATAAATCTAATCTAAAGCATTTGCAAGTCGTCCTATCCTTAAATTGTTGTCCTCTGAGCGCTCTATGTTTTACAACCAATTTTCAAATAAATATCATCCTTTATTTGGAGGACAGTTATAAATATCAGTTGAAGATGAATTCATCAATAAGACAATCATCCGAAATCCGACAGCATATTGTTAAAGGACCCGAGCAATACAATAATCATTCGAAGTATTGTGGATATTTTCGTTCAAAGTATGCGTTGCTTCCACCATCGCTCGAGCGCAGAGCTACTTTATCTGTTGCTTGGATTGTGACATAGTTGCAGGTCTTCTTGATATGATGTCTTCGAAATAAGGCTACCATACATGTCGGATGCTCATAGGGTTACCAGAAGTTCAAATTAAAAAAGAACCCCGTTAATATGCATGAAGTGCCTTTCAGATTGGCGGAGGTCCACGGATATGTTATTTTAACACATAAACTGTGTAGAAGATGTTTTGTAAAAGAGGCATTTCGGATGATTATGTGGACAACGATTTTATCATCAGAACATTTTTAATTGTTATCATCATTGTCCGGAATGGAATTATTCACAAATGCTAACATTTGAACCTGTCACGCACACAGGTCCCTCTGCTCGGTAAGTTGCGGAGAGCCACAACTTCATTCTTCGCGTCAATACTCGGAATCGCTTCAAAATCTCTTCATTGTGAGAAAAGGTAAATTTTACACTAATAAAAATCTAACGATGAAATGGTGATCAAAACATATCCGCTGGAAAAGCTCTCTCTCTCTCTCTATTTCTCTTTCGATCTATAATCTAACTGCATTAGGCCATCTGTTCCCGATGGCCCGAATGCCGCTCCTTACGACTAATTTGGGGGGAAAATGGGAATTCTTAAAAACTACTCAAGAAAACCGAATTACTAAAACTAACGAATTACATCAGCAAGCATTAGACGCTTCATGAAAAATAAAATAGTGTGCGCTAACGTTGTTGGTCGTGCAAAAATCGTGGTCATCGTCGAAGTCAGATTTCATGGCAGTATTTAAATTAAAATAATGCTGGTTTCCATTGGATACCACTGGTGGATTGGTTTCATGGAATCACGGGTAATTCTACGAAACCGATCCACCAATCGATCCAATATGGAGAAGATGAAATGATAGCATATGTTTTGACTTATGTAACAAGTGCCTTTTTCAAAGAGTTTGAAGAAAATCAGGACGATCATAAGGGCTGTACAAAGAAGATCACTACAGGAAAACAATAATGTTCAGTCAATCGGAACTAATCCTTACAACCCAGCCCGGCGGACCAGTTGCAGATTCCGCCGACCGGATCGTAGCTCAAGCCCTTGGGACATGTGTACTCCCATCCGATGACTCCGCCGATCTCCATCTTGGCGCAGGAGATGAACTTCTTGCATGACATCGGATGAGGGAAGTTACCCTGATCCAAGCACTCGATAATTCCCGGTCCGTGCATGATCACCTTGACCTGAGAGTTGCTCTTGCTGATGATTCGCTGCTCGCCGTCGTCGTAGTAATCGTAGTCCACCGCAGGCCGATAGGTGCGACCGCCGAAGTCGTCCTTCTGCTTGCGATGATTCGCCGACGCATAGGACGACTTCTCGTATGAGCTGGGTTTGCGCTTCCACTGGGTGTCCTTTCGCGGACTAAGCGTGACCGGGGAACTGCTATAATACAGGCTTGGGGTGGTCTGCTGGTAGTAGAACTGCGATTGAGTGGAGATTCGTGGCCGCTGGATCAGTTTCTCTGTGGAAAGGAAAAGGAGGTTAGTTGTTTTAAGGAGCGGAGGTTGGGATTGTGTTAGGTTATACGTGATCGCCTGGTTGTACTGAAAGGTTCCGAAAAGCTTTGCGCTGGTGTATAATCGTGCGTGATGTTGTATTTGTGGGTCGAAGCTCGCTGGTGGCTTGCCGGCAGTTCACCAATGTTCAAAACCTTCATCATCTGCATGTGCTGATTCTTTTCCTCGGGGCTTTCATTTGGAAACAGGAAGTTACGGCTGGTAGTGGACGGAAGGGGTGCACGGGAAATGGTTGTGATCGCACCGACCAGATCGTCCTCTAGGCTGCCTTCGCGATCGCCTTCACCGATTTGATTGTAGCGGTTCTTGTTGTTGACCAGTTTGCTGTTCTGCCGGATGCTGGGTTCGATTTCCTGATCGACGTCACCGTCCAACAGTGCAGGGTTCTGATCGTCCGCTGCCACGGCAGGAGATTCCGTAACAGGAGATGGCTTCGAACGGTTCTTGAAGAATTTGCTGGCCGGAGATGAGAAGGTCGTTACCGGTGGGGCTGGGGTGGTTATGCGGTTCGGTGAGAGGAAACCGGGCCGGCGCTTGAAGAGGTTGGTCCGAGTCGTGGTTTCTGTGTGGGGCGGGATGGAAATAGAATGTTGTATTATTTTACGAATTTGTTCAGCGGGATTTAGGAAGAAGTTTAGGCAACTTTCAAAAGACAGTTTCAAGAAGATTCAAAGGGAAGTTCAAGGAACTTCCATAGAACTATTCAAGGAACTTGAACAGAGACGATACATGAGTTTTAAAATTAAAAGTTCAACCATGAGATATGTGTGGGAACTCTCAAGTGGAAGTTCTGGTAAGTTCCAAGAAGGGTGTTCTGTTCTTATAAAATGACAAAGTATGGGAACTTTCGATCAACAAATCTGGGAACTTCCAAGGGGAAATTTTGTTGATTTTTCAAGAGATGTTTTGGTAGCTTCCATTTTTTTGAGAATATGAAAGATAATGTTCAGTATCATAAACTCGTCGGAGCGCTACTCTACGTAGCGACTAACTCAAGGCCGGATGTAGCAGCGGCGGTATCCATCCTGAGCCGTAAGACCAACTGTCCCTCGCAACGGGACTGGGTGGAACTAAAGCGTGTGGTACGATATTTTATTGAGACTCAAGGCTATCAACTGAAACTGGTTAGCGTTCGGATGAAGAATCTTGTATTGATCTTGTCTCGTTGGAGCGACAGAACAAGAGGAGTAAACACATCGATACAAAGTTCTTTCATGCCAAGGATCTCTGTACCTGTGGAGTGATTCAGCTACGGTATTGCTCTGCTAACGTGGAGAGGCTCGGACTGTGTTCTGGGCGAAAGTGCCGAGACAGTTGCGATCAGCTGACTTTTTTGTTTACCAAGAACTTTTGACAGATCACAGTAAAACCAACAATCAATACGAAACTAACGATTTTAAATTGGCTCACTACTTGACTAGCCTATTGGTCCCAAGCAAACGATTAACGTACCCTATTCTAGTCGAAATTCTAGTACTACGCAATGTTTGTTTTGATTCGCTATTTCGAAAGTTTGACAGATAAAATGAGGGGTTATTGGTTTTCCCTATTCTTCCAGGGGTGAATCGATTAGCTTGGGACCGAAGAGAGTACCAGAGCTGAGCCAAAAAGTTGAGCACGTTATTTCGGGACCTTCTAGTCTTATGGTGGTAAGCTCCAACCGGTATTATCCTCGGATTAGATCCCGATCAAGAATGTCCGGCTGGTTTGATGTCGACATCAGAGTTAATCAACATAATTCTGAGCAAACATTTTTCAGATCATACAAACAGGGACGGTATTAAAAGTTAATCCGAGTTGGAGCTTACCGCCATTAGAGTTACCTTTATGGTAGAACTGACAGTTCACTCTCATATGAACTTCTGCTTTGTTTATGTTTACATTCAGCACCATTAACACCAGATCACTCACACACTCTTGATTTTTAGCTGTCAGTTCCACTGAGAAACGTCTCTTGGATCACCTTATTGCAGTGATCTAGGGGGAGACAACTCGAGTATAGATTTGGATCCAGTTTTTGATCCAGTCGCTGATTGTTACTATCATTCTTTTCCAAAAACAAGTCAAGCTGAACATTGCATTAGGTCCTAAGTAACATTGATAGATTCTCTTCGTCTACTTTCTTTTTGCATCCCCACGGCCATGTAAAGACATTTCCAGGTATTTCCAGACATTCCAGGTAAAGAAGCTTTTATCTAGCATTTAATGATATCATAGGATATGATATGGAACTACCACTCTCTGTAGCAAGACAACTGTCGGAAGACTGTGAACTATCTTCGCTGTTCGACTTGATCAAGTTTAGTAACCTCTAATTGTACTCAACCTGCCATTGTATGAAGGGCAAAAAACGGTTTTGGTGTATCCGTGGCAACATCTCCCACGTGCATCCACGGGATAAAAAGAATCTCCTTCCAACAACAGGATCATGCAACCAGTCAAAAAACAGGCCATCCAACAGGAGGATGTCCCAATGAGTGGGAAGAAGAGCCCGCCCTTTTTTCACGAAATGTTAAAGACAGGGAGTTTTTTTTACTATTTCGTTTATTTACTAGGCTCAGTCGTTTGTGACACTTTGCAGAGCCAAAATCAGTAATGTTTGAATTTAAATTTTAAACAGCAGTACCGTATGCGTGATAATGTTTGCACCATTGAGCAATGTCAAAATTCTCAAAAAGATCGCTTTCGTTTTATTTTTTATTTATTCAAAGGGAGATGTTTCTCAGAGTCTTAAACAATGTTAATCATTGATCGAGTTTTCACTTGCAGCAATTACGGCCTCCACATGCTTCCGGAATTTCTCTCCAGGTACGGGTCAATGTTTGTCTGCGGCTTGCTGTACTCGGGTGGCGTTTAAAACAGGTCTTGACGCGCTATATTGAGTAAGCCAGCGGATTAAGATCGGGGCTGGATGGCGGCCACATATCCTTCACCCAGAACGGAAGATGTTCCTGCAACCACTTCTGAGTGCGGTTCGAGATGTGGCACGGAGCCCCATCTTGTTGAAATACAACATTTGGCTTCGAGCCGTACTGTTCTTTGATCCACGGAAGAACATACTTACTTAAAATCCCGATGTAGACCTCGGTGTTGACCTTGTCGCCTTCTGGAATGAACACCGGGTCCATTTTTTGCCATCGGAAGCCACCAATCCAAACACCATAACGCTAGCAGGATGCTTGGTCAGATACACGTTCTTGTGCTCGTCGGCCACGTCTTTTACTGGAAGAGAACTAATATACCGGTCGGTTCTGGAATTTGACCGACGGTAAACATGCTCTCGTCGGTGAACAGGATTACCGGATTTTTTCGCTTAAGGAAGTTCAAGATTTTCTTGCATCGTTCGACTCGTAGCTTCCGGATGCGGTTGGTAATCATGTGAGTTTTTTTTCCGTGCCCTCGACTTCACCCCGCTATCTTCCTTTACGATCTTCCGTGCCGTAAAGTCACGGATCCCGTGTTCCTTTGCCATTTTCCTTATTGAACGCACTGGATTCACCCGAATATTCCTTTTGATAGTAGCGATAACCCTCGGAACCCAAGCTGACCTCGGACGAACTGTGGCCACCTTCGCGGATATTTGTCCTTTCTTTTCTCGGTCTAAAACTCTTTTGACGGTCCACTGGGACACTCCCACGGCGATTGAAATGTCTTTTTGCGACATTTGCGTGTGGGACAAATCACAAATACGCTGCCACTTCGTCATGGTGAAACTGTCAAACTAAGTAAATCGTTTTCTTTTATACACAGCCTACTACGGTATGAGCTATAGGTTACGTGCATGCAAAGAAAACCAAGACATTGTATGCACAGGTGAAACGGGAACCTTATTTGTACCACAAACGAAGTGACAGACTTTGGTGACGCACCTGCTAATGCAATTTTTCAGTGTACCACATGGCAACACCACTACTGCTGGATTGTGCCACATGGCAACACTACTAATGGATTGTACCACATGGCAACACTAAATGTACTAGAATTTTTTGGTTCTATCTCTTTCACTCTACTCTAAACTGAAATGCCTAAAAAAATGACAAAATGATACACTCTTTGCACACTGTCAAAGATCATATTGCACACAAAATCAACTATGTTCAAATCAAAACAAAAATAGGGGGAGAGGTAGCTCATCGATTCTTCCGGTTCGCCTCCTAGCATCGTGCTATAAGGTACCAGGCGATAACCAGGGTAGTTGATCTCGATGACGTCATTTCGTTGGCGTCTGCAATGGGAAATTATCATAGCAGGCGTTGACGATGGGACGTTGTCGAGTTGTTGAATAGCAACTATCGTGGTAACTCACCGATTACCAAAGACGTCTGCATTGAATTGTCTCATATAATAATACTCCGCCCACTATATCACAAGAAATTGCGAGTAGCTGAGTGGAATGGAGATAAGTTAAGCATTGGGTACAGGACCAAGTCTCCCCTGGGTGGTGCCAAAAGATGAGCGCAATAGTTCATCAAGTTGCCATAAGGCACGGAATGAGACTATTGCATGGCTGGGTAGTCAAAGTCTTCCATTCGTTAGTCATTTCAGGTGGATTAGAACAGGTTTAGGTGGGCGTTGGCCAGATTTGGATTTTTCAGATGTAATCCTGGATAGGACCCTGTCATTGAACGTCGCGTGAAAGTGAAACTTAATGAAGGCCTAAATACTTTTTCGTAGTTTTTAGTTTTCGGATTTGAAAGATCGTCGGTTACAGTGGCCTGCTTACTGAGCAGAAAAACGCAACTCGGTGATTAAAAAGGTGCTCGTCTGCCTAGTGGCAAACGTTTTTGCTTACTGAGCAGAAGACCGTGGGTTTAGTCTCAAGCTCCTTCGCGTTATATGATCGTTAGGACATCAATTCAGCTTATCGGTTACCAAAACGAACCCTGCTGCAAACCCAACCCTCTTATCCAACATCCCAGTGATTCCTCGTGGAAGTGCAGAGGTGTTCTCGGCTTCCATCAAAGCGAGTGTCATGTCAACACAATCCTTCCCATTCTCCCCTGTGTTCGGGCGCGGCCGGCGCTGGTATTGCCTAATTTAAGATCACCAGTTTTTACACATTGAGGATGATTGCTAGTCCCAAGCATCGTCTATTGGTTCTCTGTGTAATTACAGCTGGTCTGGCAGTAACAGAGTAGCAACCGTGGGCGGTCAATCAAGCTCAAGCTCAAGCTATGTTCAAATCAAAACAAAAATACTAGCCCATCCACAAGCTTCTAAGAAAATTCTATTACAGCGAACCACATTATTTTAATTGATTTCTTCGCCAGTTAGTCGTCTGTCACTTCATTTGTGTTTGTACGATGGTGCAAACATTATCACGCATACGGTAGTTCTAGGTTAGTATTGGGTACCAATTACTCGTGGTGGGCTCGAGCGGTTACGGTAGTCGACATATTTTCTGTGATAATGGACTGCTTTTGCCTCCGACACTTGCAAAACAAGCTATCATAGTCAGGGCGTCACAATATCAGCTTAAGGTGATACTCTTAGGAAGCCTTAGCGTGAAACTTTAAAGGCACAAATGTCAGCTTCCACAAAACATACAAATTTGAAATTGCT